GACGAGACAAAGTGTACAAGAGGTACAGTAACATACTGTCCCTTGTACAGATATCTCTTGTTCTAGCTGTGTCCTCTGCTGAGTGTGAGAGAGGGTTCTCCATGATGAGCAGAGTAAAAACAGACTGGAGATCCAGGTTGAAGCCCTCCACCCTCTCTCAACTCATGACAGTTGCCCAGTGCCAGACCCCACTTGCAGACTACAACCCCAGAGGGGCTATAGCAAGATGGATGAGGGGGGGTAAAGGTCCAAGGAGATGGACCCCTGCTTATGGCCCTAGGCTAGAACTGTCAGCTTAAGTAATAGCTCTAGTATTGATGTTGAAGAGTCAAGTCAGTGAGTAACTAAAGTTTTCTTGATGCAAAATTAACAATCCCTGTAGAGTACAAAAGCTTTATGTGACAGTGTGTTTAAATAAAAAGAACATCAAAGTCATTTTCTGTATTGTTTATATTGATAAATCTTTATTACAGTGTCATCATGATCCTTGGCACACTTCAATGTGTTAGGGCACACCTGAATTTTACATTGGGTGCCCTAAGGCACCCTTGGAAAAAAATACATTTCGATCCTTAATACTCAAGATCTACAGTAAACATGGTAAACAGAAGAGTGACATTTCAAATAACCCATAGCCTGTTGCTACCTTTGTCTACCTGTAATCTGACATTTACTGTACCATGAAGTCATTTATTCATTGCCAACCTCAGCCAGTGAACCTGCATTCACGCTTTCATCCTGCCGCATTGATTGACTGGTGGTTATTGACGTGGTAGTGCAGCCAGGGAAGACAATGTGTTGTGTATGTAAACACAGGTCTGAAGGAAACATAAGTGGGGCAGAGCATATTTTATTACTGTCAACTTCTGTACTGATTTGTAGGGAGGAAAATATCGTTCATAGATCATTGTTCCATATTCAATGGACTACTGCCAAGATAAATCTTGTTAATGAGGAATAAATTCAAATTAAAACATTAATTAATCTACCTGATTTCCCTGAAACACTGTGTCTTATCAGGTTCATGGAATGGAGAAATAACAATGCACCCAGACATACATGATAAACAATCAAACTGTATTAAAGTAACATTTAATGTTTCAAATGATCTTCCAGTGGATTGTCTATAGTGTCTGCCCACTTCAGAAAACAAAGCTCCCTCTGAAGTAAGTGCATGAACATTTTACTGTAGATGCTCAAAGTACCTTTGTGGATTCTGGGGTAGAACATAGCTCACCAGTAACCATGGTAACCAAGACTTGTCATAGTTCGATGAATAAGGTGGTCAGGAATGGGCAACAGGTGAAGCTACTGTCATAAAAAAAAGTCAAGACAGAGTTCAAAACACTAACCAAAAACACAGCTGAATCCTTGTATGGTAGGATTGCAGAGTTTGAAGGCAATAGTGGTGTGATGGAGGCCTTCCACATCTTCACTCCTGTAAGTTGGCCACAGAATAAAGATGGGTTTGCTTCGTTTGGGAAGGAAGAAGTAAAACAAATCACAAACCACTTCACGGAATACCTCATGAAAAATGATATATCCAAGGAGTCATGCCTCACTGAAATGCCAGATGTTCTCATGGAGGCCTCAGGATCTCTTCAAGAGAACTCCAGACATACCCTACATAGATCTTTTGGTCTAAAGTTATGAGATGAGACAAATTGTACAAGAGGTACAGTAACATACTGTCCCTTGTACAGATATCTCCTGTTCTAGCTGTGTCCTCTGCTGAGTGTGAGAGAGGGTTCTCCATGATGAGCAGAGTAAAACAGAGACTGGAGATCCAGGTTGAAGCCCTCCACCCTCTCTCAAATCATGACAGTTGCCCAGTGCCAGACCCCACTTGCAGACTACAACCCCAGAGGGCTATAGCAAGATGGATGAGGGGAATTAAAGGTCCAAGGAGATGGACCCTGCTTATGGCCCTAGGCTAGAACTGTCAGCAAGTAATAGCTCTAGTATTGATGTTGAAGAGTCAAGTCAGTGAGTAACTAAAGTTTTCTTGATGCAAAATTTGCAATCCCTGTAGAGTACAAAAGCTTTATGTGACAGTGTGTTTAATTAAAAAGAACATCAAAGTCATTTTCTGTATTGTTTATATTGATAAATCTTTATTACAGTGTCATCATGATCCTTGGCACACTTCAATGTGTTAGGGCACACATGAATTTTACATTGGGTGCCCTAAGGCACCCTTGGAAAAAAATACATTTCGATCCCTGGGGTAATGTTCATACTTGTTTCTTCTAACTTGGTTTTCCATGGTGCCATTGCACAAAACAATCTTGGTGCTAAGGTAATTGTAACTCCAGTAATATAGACTTACCACAGTCTTAGCATTAAGATTGTTTTGTACATTGGCACCCATGTTAGCAGGATAGTAGAAAACTAAGGAGTAATATTAGTTGTGGTGTAAGTCATGTTCATGCCAAGACTGATTGAGAGATTGAACATACCAGTATATCATGATTACCACTGATAGCTGAAATGTGTATTCAGGCAGTTGGGGTTATACATTTTAGGAATGAAATTAGCAGCCCAACAGCTAAGTATGCCTTTGTCCACTTACTGGACATGAACAGATAAGTGTTAAAACATGAAGAAATACACATGTACCATGGCCTTTGATTTTCTGAAGCCTTAAGTGTGTTAAGCTTGCCTAATGTATAAAATTTCTTGTTTGACATTGTTTGAGGTTGGATTGTAGTCAGTATGTATTTGCCCAGATTTGAATCAATGTTATCAGATTAAATCTGCTTGGTGGTAAAAGTTATTTCTTGGTAAGGTTGAGGGCTGTCAGTGGAGCTGATGATTTTTCTAGCATTGGTTTGCCAACTTAATACTCAAGATCTACAGTAAACATGGTAAACAGAAGAGTGACATTTCAAATAACCCATAGCCTGTTGCTACCTTTGTCTACCTGTAATCTGACATTTACTGTACCATGAAGTCATTTATTCATTGCCAACCCTCAGCCAGTGAACCTGCATCTCACGCTTTCATCCTGCCGATTGATTGACTGGTGGTTATTGACGTGGTAGTGCAGCCAGGGAAGACAATGTGTTGTGTATGTAAACACAGGTCTGAAGGAAACATAAGTGGGGCAGAGCATATTTTATTACTGTCAACTTCTGTACTGATTTGTAGGGGGGAAAATATCGTTCATAGATCATTGTTCCATATTCAATGGACTACTGCCAAGATAAATCTTGTTAATGAGGAATAAATTCAAATTAAAACATTAATTAATCTACCTGATTTCCCTGAAACACTGTGTCTTATCAGGTTCATGGAATGGAGAAATAACAATGCACCCAGACATACATGATAAACAATCAAACTGTATTAAAGTAACATTTAATGTTTCAAATGATCTTCCAGTGGATTGTCTATAGTGTCTGCCCACTTCAGAAAACAAAGCTCCCTCTGAAGTAAGTGCATGAACATTTTACTGTAGATGCTCAAAGTACCTTTGTGGATTCTGGGGTAGAACATAGCTCACCAGTAACCATGGTAACCAAGACTTGTCATAGTTCGATGAATAAGGTGGTCAGGAATGGGCAACAGGGTAGATTGCATGTCAGTGTATGTGTTTAAATTTTAATTAATTCACAATACACACAGTTAGGTCTTTATTCATGGGCTGCTTCTAAATTATGTACAGGATACTGAATAAAGTTGATTTCTTACAGACTATTTTGCATTTTTGCTCAAAGTTCTTTCTGCGATATTTATCGATAATCAACTGACATTTAGTTGATAATTATCGATCTCTGTAATATTTTGTACCTGCACTGCATTTACTTTCTCTTGAATCCTCACGGTGTTGTTCTGTGTATTAGAGAAGACTATATAGATTCTGGCAGAGAGATGGTAATCAATAGCTTAATGTATGTGGGTATTGATCACGATGGACAGATGAAGTACACGTTGCTGCAGGTAGTGGTGGTTTCTACCTGGCACCCAAACACACCTGTATCAAGTTGTGTAAAGGCGTAGACAGCTGATAGTCTCCACAATGTTGATTCTGAAAGTGATAGACATATCACCTGACATGGTGTCATAGGATGGCTGGTGAGCAGCCATAACTGTCCAGTACAACAGATCAGTTTATTCAGTCTCTCACATGTACATACTGCTACCACGGCTACTGGTAGACTTTTCCTAATGTTTATTTATCATACAATTTGGAAGGGTTATGAACATGATGAATGTCAGTGATTTGTCACAGGCCAGATATCTTTTGTTCCCTTAACACCCGTGAAGATCCAGGTCAGAATTTATCTCCAGTAGCCCATGCTTGTCGTAAGAGCTGACTAACGGGATGGATCGGGTGGTCAGGCTCACTGACTTGGTTGACACATGTCATCGTATCCCAATTGCATAAATCGATGTTCATGCTGTTGATCCCTGGATTGTCTGGTCCAGACTCGAATAATGACAGACCGCCGCCATATAGCTGGAATATTGCTGAGTGCGACGTAAAATTAAACTCACTCACTCAATCACTCATTCACAATTACTGTATTCAAATATTATTTCTACCATTACACTGAAAACTTACTTGTCTTGGCCATTTATATACTAGCCAAAATCTGGCATGTACCAGAGAATGGAAGCACTAATTATAACATGGGACATGGCAGATAACATGTTTTTCCATCATTTTTAGTTTATTAGGCCTTATATTATGGCAAATTTATGCAGATAAACATGATTACCCAGAGAGTTTCATAGATTGTGTTGTGTTGTAAACAATTTAAACTGACTTAGGTGTCTAGTTCTAGCTGTAAACACATCCATGGTCTAGTGTGCAGAGGGGGGTCTGCCCTGACAGATGGTAAAACATGGTTGTTGTTGTTACCCAGCCTGGTGCTTGACTTGGGATAAAACATGGACAGCTTAGTCAGTATACAGCATGGGAGTGTCATATCCCTGTGTACCTGCATCCTGGTATTTGTGTGTTCCAGCTGTAATGTGTCCCCATGTTGTTTCAGGTGGACAATGTGTGTCCTGCGTTCCTTTTTAACTGTCACAGTGCTGGTGGCACAGGTCCTGTCTGTCAACCGGGAGAACTTTAAAACATGTAGTCAAAGTGGATTCTGCAAGTAAGTGCCTTCTATGGATGAAAGACTTGATGACCAAAGCAAAGGATTTATTTTGGTAAATTTAACTTGATTTGACTTGATAACCTGTGTTTTCTGTGTGATGGAATTTCCTCACTCACTTGTTTCCATCCATGCCATTAAATGCCTACAAATGGGAAGACATACAAGTGCTGATTTGGGGTCTATGTCTGTGTGGATGTTGTTGCCTAGACCATTTGGGGACATGTGTGAATCTGTGTGTGTGTGTCTGTCTTTGCATGCACGTGTGGTTACCTTGACCTGAAGGTAAGCTATGTGGTTACCTTGACCTGAAGGTAAGCTATGTGGTTACCTTGACCTGAGGGTAAGCTATGTGGTTACCTTGACCTGAGGGTAAGCTATGTGGTTACCTTGACCTGAGGGTAAGCTATGTGGTTACCTTGACCTGAAGGTAAGCTATGTGGTTACCTTGACCTGAAGGTAAGCTGAATGGTTACCTTGACCTGAAGGTAAGCTGAATGGTTACCTTGACCTGAAGGTAAGCTATGCGGTTAACTTGACCTGAAGGTAAGCTGATTTGTTACCTTGACCTGAAGGTAAGCTCTGTGGTTACCATGACCTGAAGGTAAGCTGAGTGGTTAACTTGACCTGAATGTAAGCTCTGTGGTTACCTTGATCTGAAGGTAAGCTGAGTGGTTACCTTGACCTGAAGGTAAGCTCTGTGGTTACCTTGACCTGAAGGTAAGCTATGTGGTTACATTGACCTGAAGGTAAGCTCTGTGGTTACCATGACCTGAAGGTCTGAGTGGTTAACTTGACCTGAAGGTAAGCTCTGTGGTTACCTTGATCTGAAGGTAAGCTGATTTGTTACCTTGACCTGAAGGTAAGCTCTGTGGTTACCATGACCTGAAGGTAAGCTGAGTGGTTAACTTGACCTGAAGGTAAGCTCTGTGGTTACCTTGATGAAGGTAAGCTGAGTGGTTACCATGACCTGAAGGTAAGCTCTGTGGTTACATTGATCTGAAGGTAAGCTCTGTGGTTACCATGACCTGAAGGTAAGGTATGTTGTTACTTTGACCTGAAGGTAAGCTGAATGGTTACCATGACCTGAAGGTAAGCTCTGTGGTTACCTTGACCTGAAGCTAAGCTCTGTGGTTACCTTGATCTGAAGGTAAGCTGAGTGGTTACCAGGACCTGATGGTCAGCTCTGTGGTTACCTTGACCTGAAGGTAAGCTATGTGACTACTTTGACCTGAAGGTAAGCTCTGTGCTTACCTTGACCTGAAGGTAGCTGAGTGGTAACATTGACCTGAAGGTAAGCTATGTGGTTACCTTGACATGCAGGTAAGCTCTGTGGTTACCTTGACCTGAAGGTAAGCTGAGTGGTTACCATGACCTGAAGGTAAGGTATGTTGTTACCTTGACCTGAAGGTAAGCTGAGTGGTTACCATGACCTGAAGGTAAGGTATGTTGTTACCTTGACCTGAAGGTAAGCTGAGTTGTTACCTTGACCTGAAGGTAAGCTCTGTGGTTACCTTGACCTGAAGGTAAGCTCTGTGGTTACCATAACCTGATGGTAAGCTGAAGGGTTACCATAACCTGATGGTAAGCTGAGTGATTGCTTTGACCTGATCATAAGATGTTCTGTTGCAGACGCCAGCGTGCAGTGCAGCCCGGCCAGTCTCCATATGTAGCTCTCCTGGACTCCATACAGAAAACATCTACATCTATACAGCTACAGTTATTAAATAAACACAACAACGTTCGATTTCTTTTACAAGTATTTGGACTAAAACATAACACTGTACGGGTCAAACTGAATGAGTTGGAGCCATTAAGAGCACGATATGAAATCCCGGTAGGAGAAACTTTGAAGTCTCAGCCTGAGGCAGAACAGTGAGTACATTTGTATTTCTGAAGTCAACTACTCAATTTCATCACATTGAATATGATAAGCTGTATTTTTGGAGAGTCTGTAGATATAATCCAAATATATAAACACCATGTTACAGTCAGTGGTTTTACGCCGCTTTTAGCAATATTCCAGCAATGTCACAGCGGGGGACACCAGAAATGGGCTTTCATGTTACATGTGACATGTAAATACGTGTTGCTAAGAAGGCTGCGTGTATATCAACATGGTTCCCAGAATGGTTCACACTGGACAGGTTTCTCAGTCACTAACATTGGTAGTACATCTAACTACACATGTATTTTGTATGAGTTTTATGTAATGGTCACAAACTAGACATCAGAAATCCAGAAAGTCTTTTTCAGGCCTTTTGAGGAATGTGTATGAAATATATACACAGAGCATGTTTTCTTGTGTTGAGTGAGTGAGTGAGTGAGTCCTTGTACACAGCCAACTTTACCTGCAGGATCACAGTGCAGGAGACATCCAGAGACAGAGTCACCTTCTCACTGGGCACCAGTAAAGTGGTCATTCTGTCAGACCCCTTCAGGATGGACTTCTTCGCAGGAGGAGAGCCGGTTGTCAGCATCAACTCACAAGAACTGCTCAAGTTTGAACACATGCGGCAAAAACAGTGAGTTGTTTTGCCTCTGTTGCCAAGGAAAGCATCAATTACATATTCTGAAGTTTACTGTAACTGAATTATACAGGCAAATCATTCACTAAAATACAAGCAGGATATTGTGGATTCTCACAAATTTTATGCTCTCTTATGGATGTCATGGGTGATAAACAGCACAGATTTGAAGTGTTCCATGCAATTGTTCAGACATTATCAATACTTCACAGTGTATTGTATACACTTTATTCCATCAGCTATGATGCTGTTCGGTGTAGTCACGATTTGTGACCAACAAATAAATAGGGCCTGGTTGTACAGTAAATGGAAACCAGTGAGTGCTCAGAGCAACACTTCCATAGAGGACCCAGTTACTACAGTCACATCCACCCTGTACAGGTGGCAGGGTTCGCACAGACTTCATGCACACAGTCAGTGAGTTTAGTTTTACACTGCACTCAGCAATATTACAGCTATATGTTGGCGGTCTGTAAATAATCGAGTCTGCAACAGACAATCCAGTGATCAACAGCATGAGCATCAATCTAGCATTCAGGGATACAATGACATGTGCCAACCAAGTCAGTGAGCCAGGCCACCCGATCCCATTAGTGGCCTCTTATGCAATAGATCTCATTTCACTTTTGTTAGCTTTCCAAAAAGTCATTCCTTGCTGGCCATTTTGAGTCCATGATTACAGCTGTGTATCTGTTAATTTACAATGGTTGATGGTGAGGAGTGTCAGGGTGTAGTTAAAGCCAGCAGGTGATGGTGTGTGGCTTTAGACCGGAGCATGTAGAGGAAAGGGTGGATGTGCTGGTGTGTGGCTTTAGACCGGAGCATGTAGAGGAAAGGGTGGATGTGCTGGTGAAGGTGTAGCCCAGACCATGTGTAGAGACCATGGGAGGTGGATGTGCTGGTGAAGGTGTAGCCCAGACCATGGAGAGGAGAGGGTGGATGTGCTGGTGAAGGTGTAGACTGCTGGTGTAGACTAGAGCATGTAGAGAGAGGGTGGATGTGCTGGTGAAGGTGTAGCCCAGAGCATGTAGAGGAAAGGGTGGATGTGCTGGTGAAGGTGTAGCCCAGACCATGTAGAGGAAAGGGTGGATGTGCTGGTGAAGGTGTAGCCCAGACCATGTAGAGGAGCCCAGACCATGTAGAGGAGAGGGTGGTTGTGCCGGTGAAGGTGTAGCCCAGACCATGTAGAGGAGAGGGTGGATGTGTGAGGGTGGTCACAATTAATTCATCTGATAATCTTTGCAATGAAATTGATATCTTATGGCAGCTATAAGATGTATTGGCCCTGAAACTGATAGCTGTAATGGATTGTAAGTTACACCAGCATGTGCCTATCATGCATCAAGGAATCTTTGCACCAATTTCTTTTTGTCCTTTATGTTGAGTAATTGCCTTTGGTAATTAGAAGTAGCTTGATGACATGTTATTCGACAAGTCAGTGTTGTGATGATGTTGTGTGTTGCTGCATGCACCTTTGCTTCTTGCTGTTCATGTTTCTAATCTAGATATCTGGGAACACAATGTTTCTGTCCACTTTGTAGGGGCTGGTTGAGTAGAATGGGCTCGGGATTATATTCTTGGTTTTCCGCCCCTTTCAGAGCGGAGCAACAGCCAGACCCTCCTGCAGAAGATAAGGGTGAGGAGGAGAAGAAGGTGAGTTTCCTCCTTTACATTGATGTTGGGGTTGCATGGGTTGTAATGTTCATACCTTAGTTCTCACTGTCAGGTCAGTCCAGAATGGCCTTTCAGCCAGCCCGCATTGCTTATCAGATTGTTTTCTAATCATGTAACCACAAATAAGATAAACGCGAAAAAAAAGTTCTGGACAGTTAAAGGTTGTACAACTAGTTCCATCAACATCTTCTCTCAGTTCTTTGGGATAGACATTTGAAAAGGACAAAACTTTCAAAATCCCATCTGCAAAGTACTTCCTTAAATCTCAGCCATTTTGCTCAGGTTTCGTATTTTGAATGATTAACTTTGTGTAAATATTTTTCAAAGCATATCCTTGAAAGGAAGTCACCAGTTTGAAACTGCAGTAAAGCTTGAGAACACTACTTCCTGATTGACTTTCTCAGTGTCAAACTCATGTTTGTCATTGTTAGATCCAAGTTTGCAAACTGTAGTTCTGACATGACCTGTAATGGGATATCCTCATCTCTGTGTAGTGGTAGTGAGAACCAAAAGACAATTTGAATGACATTGTTTTGTTGTAAGAATACAGTAATTGCTGTAAGTTTACATTGAGCAGACGGATATAACAAGCTGTTATTTGGCACCAGACACTTGCTGTATATTTCAATTACCAGGGTAGTAGATTTCTCTGAGTTGTGTGCTTCTAATGGTAGTCAAGTGTGGACAGACCAACATTTATAGTTACATGTTGCATGTTTTTATGCAGTGATATTGATTTCATCTGGTTGCCTTGATTTCAACGATGGTTGGCTAAAATGATCGATAATTGAAAATATCATTTATAGGAAAAATTATTAATGATATCAATATGAAAATTTTGTTATTAATAATATCGTTCATTCATTTTTGTGATAGAAAAAGGTTTGAAATTCGTTCATAAGCTGCTTTTAAATTATATTGAGGATGCCGTTTTTGTTAGTAATCAATGCATAAACTATCACCAATTATTCACCATTAATGTGAAATATATTCTTTTCTTTCAAAATGTTTTTTGCATTTTTGCTTTAAGATGCTTGTCCGATATTTATTGATAACCGATTGATATTCAGTTAGAGAATATTGATCTCTTTGATCTATATTGATAGCCAGCCCTAGTTTCAACATAACATGCATGCGAGGGTCTGAGTGGGGTTATAACAGTGTTCAGTCTCATTAATCGGTGTCAGATGATTATATAACTGGTCTAAAGACAATGAGAAATATTAGTTTAACAAGGGTTGAGTGTAGTTGGATACCTTGTACGCATGTTCATAGCGATGTGTAAGAAGTGATGTAATGTGTGTTCTGGGTAGGAGGGAGAAGAGGAGGAGGGGAAGCAGGTGCCCCCTGAAAAGACGGATGAAGAGGCAGACATGTGGGAGGAAACCTTCAAGTCCTTCACAGATTCTAAGCCTCACGGTGAGTGCATGTTTGGGCATTTCATTTCTCCCTCGTGACTACATTGATCCATTTATCTCTCTTTGAAACAAATTATTGGTCAGAAAGGAAACAGGAGAGGTGTTCACTGCAGGTGTAGTGCAGTAGTTGTAGACACATGGATCATGATGGCCAGGTGAGCCCCATGTCCTGTTCCCACAGCCACTCTGACAAATTCCTGGTCTGTTGCAGGTCCTACATCAGTGGGGATAGACATCTCATTCCCAGGCTTCGACTTTGTTTATGGAATTCCAGAACATGCAGATAGTCTTGCTCTCAAATCAACAAAGTAAGTTCAATCAGTTTTGGTTAGTTTCTAGCCGTCTGCTCTGTTTGGTAGCCTGGAATGATTGGATCTTTTGATTTCAGAAATACTGAGCCCTATCGGTTGTTCAACCTAGATGTATTTGAGTACGAACTGTACAACCCTATGGCTCTCTACGGCTCTGTTCCTCTCATGCTGGCACACAAGTGAGTACCACTATCATCCAGACTCTATGGCATGGTTTAATGCTGGGGTTAAATCCACTTCTCTCCAAGCAATATGATCATCATGTACAATACTGAACAGTGTTCTCAGTTTCACCTTGATGTGTTTGTCGGGTGAAGCACCGTGCTACATGATGGACTTGACCGGGGTCTACACTCCTACTCCTTCTTATTTACATACATTGGCAACACTGATACAACACTGAATATTGGTAACACTATATCGGGAATGTTGTGATGTTTTCAGTAAAAAGAACACAGTGGGCATATTCTGGCATAATGCTGCAGAGACATGGATTGACATCAGCTCCACGGTGGCTGACAAGGTATGTCTGTTGCTCAATATCCTACACAACTACATCATTAGATGTTATGTCTGTGTTTATCTTGGGGTGTACTTTATTGCAACTTAGCTACTCAAATACAGTGTATTATTTACTTGATTGCTTTTTCCTGAAACTTCTTTCTGAATCCATGGGTTTAGCCTCAATAAATTACAAAGACCAAGGTTTTGTGTTGTCCATCTTTCTACTGGTCAAGTCTCAAGGGATACAGGAAACGGTTTCAGGCCAAGAAGAATGGAAAGCCCAGGCTTAGTCAGCTTGACACGGCCTTCCCAGACGTTAGTAGCATGGACCTTGGCTACAGACAACTATCGTAGGTGGAAGATGCACTGTATTTCCTACTGACAGCCTACATTCGGAGATTACCCAGACACCAGTCGATTTGGGTGACCTTTCAAGGTCGCCACGACACTTTGACCACTTTTCAAACTCTTGTTAGCGCGATATCTCATGAAATGTTGTACCCAATGTCTTCAAATTTGGTGACAGCCTACATTGTGAGATTACCCAGACACCAGTTGATTTGGGTGAACTTGACCTTATCTGCAAGGTCACCACGACACTTTGACCGCTTTTCAAACTTATTTAAACGCGATATCTCATAAAACATTGCACCCAATGTTTTCAAGTATGTTGACAGCCTACATTGGGTGATTATGCAGACACCAGTCATTTCAGGCATCTTGTATGTGACCAAAAAATAAAAAGTAGTTAATATAGAATTTTTAACTTACCTTACCTCATGGTCATGTGCATGGTACCTTTGCTCATCCAATACAAAGATTGGAAACGTGATCGATAAGTATCCTTGTTGAATGCTATCATGAAACTGGTGACGTGTCGATCTTGTCCGGCGAGCGGAAGTACGCCCCCCAATCCCGTCATGTGACAACGAGAACACGTCACTTTATCCTTTATCGCAGAGCGAGGTGGACGAGTATACGATTTTTCTGTTTCTTTTCTTACTGTTTCTTTGTGTTTTCTACAGTAAGGTTTTCGTATTGTATCCTTCTACCATGATATAACGAAAAGGTACTCACCGTAGGCTGTTTTTTTTTCTCTCACTGTACGGTCTTCGCAGTGTGTTGTTTTGCTCGCGTTGTTTATCCAGCTTCGCTTCGGCAGAATTAGGTACCTCTTTGATCAGCCTGGGTTGTTTTTGTCCTTGCTTGACCATTGTATGTATCTTGTTCTCTTTCTTTGTGTCATATTTTGTGTGTTTTTCCTTGTAGATGTTTTTCACATGCTTGCCAGTAATGGCGGCTGTCGCTAGGCGTGGCACATACATGTATAGCTACCTGTGTGTGCTCTCTGTTGTCGTTTAGTTTCATATTCTGCTTTTCCCGCCGTTTTTCGCTTCACTGTTGAGTTAAGTTGTCGGCGTTTCTTCCTTATGTGGGTAAGCGTGTGTATACCAAAGTTATGGTTTTGCACGTTTGCCTTCCCTTCCCAAATAGGCTTATATTTGCTTTATCATAACTATTTGTTATGCTATATTTTCTTCGTTATAATGATTAATGTTTACTTAACGTGTGTTCAACAGTAATTGTTTTTCTGTTGTTGCAGTTTGCTGTGGTTAGTTTATGCCACGGGTTTAGTGCAATCGGTGCAAGTCTCAGAAGTCGGCTAAAGATCCCCCATCCTGCTTGCCCGGATTGTCTGGTCAACAGCGTGTACTTGGACCTCCCGGTGCTCGTTTTGCCGGCACCTACCTTCCACCGACTTTAAAGTGTTCTTAGCTGCTCGGAACAAACGTTTTACCCAACGCAAGCGCCTCATGTCTTCTAACGACGCCTCTGAGACTACTCAGGTTCCTTCGACGCCTACGGCTCAGCTTGGGAACATCTCTACACCTTCAGCGGATCGGCAATCTACGACTTCGCCTCCCCGCCAGTCCTCATCTCCGGAAACGCTCCAGAGCGAGCCTCCTCACACAGGCCCAGATCGACAATGCTGTGAATCCAGGCGCTCCATCTAATCTTCAAGATTCCCGAAGGATCGTCAGCGTCCAGATGATCGTTCTAAGGAATGCCAGCGCTCCTCTGATCGTCTGTTGTCCGGAGATGACCAGCGTTTGCCCACAAATCGGCAACGCTCCCCCTCAACCTTCACCAAGCCGTTCACCTGCGTGGGGTGCTCGGCGTTCTCCCAAGCGCGCAACGGAGTGTGACGATCGGCGTCCTTCTCCAACATATACGTTCGCCTCGGCATTCCCCTCGGAGCTCCCGTTCTCCCAGGTGCTCTCCTGTATGGGTAGTTCGGCGCTCCTCAGCGTTCTCCTCGGCGTTCACCACGGCGCTCACCTCAGCGTTCACCTCAGCGTTCACCTCAGAGACAGCTTTCACCTCTTCATCGGCGTTCGCGTTCCCGATCACCTTTGTGTAGGTCGCTGGATTCCGTCTCTTGTGTCGGAGGCTCAGATTGTTCCAGATTATGAGGAAGAAGACAACCAGGCTCTGACGCGCTTGGGCATGGAGAGTGTTTACGCCTGGATAGCTGATAGACTTATCACTTTCCCGTCTCCAGGGTCGGATATTCCTCGTGCTACCTACATTTGGGATGAACCAGAGCTGCTCCTGCCACCGCATCCCATGGTTGCTGATGCCATTGCTTCACTTGATGAAGATTTCCAAAAGTTATCTCTCAATCCTTCCATCAAGCCTGCTAAACATCACCATCAGGAATACAAGGAGCATTCTTTTGACTGTGGATTTTGGCGCGCTACACAAGATGAAGCGGCCAAACAATTGTCGGATGCTTCTCAAGCTCAATACAAGGTCCCAGATGCCAAGTTGTTGGTGATTGATACGGAACTCCGTCGAACCTTGAAGCCCCTCTCTGTGCTTGCTTCGGCCACGGAGGCCCTGTCTCAAGATCGCTCGGAGGATAACCCTTCCCGCTTAGATCATCTTACCACTATGTTTAGATGGCAGGCTAGAGTTCTGTCTGATGTGGATCACGTTCGTTCGGGCCTTAGCTACCACCACTGTGACTAGGAGGACTGGGTTACTCACTCCCTGTACCTGGCAGGAGGAATTCAAGAAAAGACTGATGCGTGCCCCGTTTGCGGCTCCCACCTTATTCGCGGATAAGATCCAGGATGTCTTTTCAGAGCATGCCTCCTTGACCCAAACTGAGATTGCGCTCCGATCTTTTCGGCACTTTGGCACTTTGTCAGCACCAGCTACCAGAACCACCAACCTTTACCAATCCAGGAGGACGTTGGTTCGTGGAGCCTTCAGAGGGCGTGGCAGGGGATGTCCCAATGACTTCCAACGTCGTCCCGCCGGTAACCAAAAGGACTTGTGCAAGACCGGCAAACCCAAGTACAAGCACCGCTGATGTTTTGGGCGGTCACGACTGGGATCTCCCGCCCCCAGCCATCCATATCCGCGATATACCTGTAGGCGGGAGACTCGGGGTCTTCTGGCCCAACTGGACAATCCTAGGAGACCCCTTTGTCCCAAATCTTCTCAAGGCTACAAGTCATGTCACCGCCTTTGACCACCTCGCCCGAGTCTCACGTATATTCCATCGTTCAACACCAGCACCTGTTGACCAACATTCAGGCGTTGTTGGACAAGAAGGCCGTAGAACAAGTACTAGAGCCCAGCAACTCCTCCGATGTTTTACTCTCCCATCTTCTTAGTACCCAAAAAGAATTCTCAGAAGATGAGGATGGTACACAATATGGCGGTGTTCAACAAACTTTACCTTCCGGAGCCGCCACATTTTCGGATGGTATCTCTGACTTTGCTATGAACCAAACCGTCCCTCAAGGATTGGTTGGTCAATCTGGATCTTCAAGACCCATACCTACATGTATGACGGTCACCATTACCAGTGGAAGGTCCTGCCGTTTGGCATCTCTATGGCCCCGTGGCTTTTCACTCTAATTACAGCACCGATTTCCCAGTATCTTCATCTTCGGGGGATAGAGTTCAACCCATACATAGACGACTCTCTCATGAGTCACAAGGAGTGCCGGCTGCTACGCAGACAGAGGGACTTTACACTCAAGCTTTTCCACCAACTCGGTTGGATCGTCAACCTCGAAGTCCCACCTAGAGCCGTCCCAACCGTTGACTTTCATAGGGGGTTTGTTCCTGACAGACAGAACGTTTGCTGCAGCGGCTCTTTGACCGAATTCACACACGGACGCGAACTGTTTGTGGACACCTCTCTGCAGGATTGGGGCGCTCACCTGGACTCTCAGACAGCGGCAGGGCTGTGGTCAACCGCACAGGCAGGTTGGCACAGCAACAACCTAGAGCTTCAGGCTGTCATCTTAGCCATTCAGCACTGGATTCATTCGCTACGGGTTCCAAGCTCTTAGTGGCGTCGGACAACTCGACAGTGGTCTGGTTGATCCGCAACCAGGGAAAAACCAGCTCGGGTCTTCTCTTGAATCAGACGTTTCGTTTGTTTTGCCTTCTGGACGACAACAACATCCACATCAGAGCTCGTCACATTCCGGGTTGAAGGAATGTCTTGGCAGACGCTGTCCCGACCAGACAAGCCATCCCCAACAGAGTGGATGCTTCATCCGGAAGCATTCGATCTGGTTTGTCACCTCCATCACAGACCGTTAGTGGACCTCTTTGCAACGAAGCACAACCATCAACTTCTGGTTTACGTGTCTCCTCTTCCGGATCCTGTCGCTTGGGCAGTGGACGCCCTGTCCCTCTCGTGGGAGAGTCTAGACGCCTACGCATTACCTCCTCCAGTTCTTCTTCCCAAGGTCGTAGCCAAGCTCAAGGAGACCAAGCAGATGTCTCTGCTGTTGGTCGGGCCTTGGTGGCCGGCGAGAACCTGGTTCCCTGAACTACGGCGACTCGTCGAAGGAGATCCTCAACCGCTACCACTTCTACGGCATCCTAACAGCCGCCTGTTGCACCCAGATCCAGACAGGTTTCATCTATGCGCTTGGGTCATCTTCAGAAAGCTCTGAAATCCACGGGTTATTCGGCTGGTGTGGCTACGATCATCATTGCTCATAGAGTGTCCACCCGCAGCTTGTACGATGACAAATGGTCTGCATTTGGGAAGTTTTACGCTGATCGCTCTAAGAATCCGGTTAAGCTTCTTCTCAATTTATTGCGGAATTCCTCCTCTACCTACGCAACACTCGGCATCTGAAAGGTGGTACGATTTCTACTTATTTGGCAGCCCTTAATTCAGTGCTGGCCGTCAAGTCTGATAGGAAGGTCTCCAAGATCCCGGAATTACTGGCCATGCTGAAAGCGTTTAAGTTGGAGGATCAGAAGTCGAAGTTCCGCCCTCCAGCTTTGGATCTAAATGTGGTTTTACAACACCTTCGTGGATGTCCTTATGAGCCTTTGTCTGTGGCCTCATTCGAGGACTTGTCCAGGAAAACAGCTTTTCTTTTGGCGCTTGCTACTGCGGCCAGAGTTAGTGAGCTTCACGCAATAGATGTTACCAGGATTAGGTTTGAACAGACTCGTCATGGTTCCGTCCATTTGGGTCCATTCTCTGGGACTTCATTGCCAAGACATTGCCATATCAGTGGCAAACACTTGTTGACATTTCTTTTAATCTTTTAAACTGAAAAGTAAACTTATGTTTACCATAGGTCCTTTAGTTGTTTCATGCTGAACAGTCTACTCATCAGGACCATCACTGAAGTTTTTCTCTTTGGCCCCAAGCCAAACTCGCTCATTAATATTTATTTTAACTATGGGGCACACCCAACCATTATGCCATAAATTCATGATTTTGCTGAAAATAATGTAAACAGTATTCAGTGAAATTTTGAATAACATATACATTTCACAAAGTTATGTGCAGATATACAACGAACATGTAGTAGTTACTTCATTCTAATACGAGAGCTTGGTCCAAATACCAAATTGTCGAGTGCATAGCCCGTGACACCTGTTAGCTTGTATCTTGGTAGGGGCATCACTTAAGAGCTAAGATTTCCTTGTGGGATTCCAGTATGTTGCCACAATATTCTTTAAACATAGAAGACATTACATTTTACTCAGAAAACTGTCCTGTCAAATGCATGAATGATTTGTTATGTAACACTGTTCTTGTGAATGAACAGCTTCATTACATTAAGATCAAATTGTCCTTTGACATGGTAATGGTTCGACAGTTCACCAGAGATCTCAGTGAACTTTAAATGTACTTGTTTAGCAATGCTGATTATTTCTATTTATACCTGATTGTTTACTACCTTTCTTCATTATCTGTTGCAGACATTTTTTTCCAAAGTGGCTGACATGGTTAAAGGCAGTACAGAGCTGCCCAGGACAGACACGCACTGGTTCTCTGAGAGTGGGGTCATTGATTTGTTTGTGTTGCTGGGATCGCGCCCCAAGGATGTATTTTACCAGTATGGCGTGCTCACTGGAACCACAGAACTACCTCCGGTCAGTATCTCCCCTAGTCAAGCAGACAATAATACCCCGGGTCAGTCCCACACTTTTCAGGAATACAATATTTCCCTTTGCCATTGCCTTCCCCACTTTCAAGAAGACAATATGACCCTTTGCCATTGCCTTCCCCACTTTCAAGAAGACAATATTACCTCCTGTCGGTACCTTCCTCATACGACCTTCATCACCTCCAGTCTGCATAGCCTATGATTAGGGTAGGGCATACCATCAGTGGTGAGGTAAGGGACACCAACTGTGGTCAGGAAGGGGGACACCATCAGTGTGTCAGGTAGGGGACACCATCAGTGGTTAGGGAGGGGACACCATCAGTGGTTAGGAGGGGACACCATCTCCTGTGGTCAGGAGGGGGGGCACCATCTCCTGTGGTCAGGGAGGGGGGCACCATCAGTGGTTAGGGAAGGGACACCATCACCTGTGGTCAGGGAGGGGGACACCATCACCTGTGGTCAGGAGGGGACACCATCAGTGGTTAGGAGGGGACACCATCTCCTGTGGTCAGGGAGGGACACCATCAACTGTGGTCAGGGAGGGGACACCATCAGTAGTTAGGGGGGACACCATCTCCTGTGGTCAGGGAGGGGGACACCATCAGTGGTTAGGGAGGGGGACACCATCAGTGGTTAGGGAGGGGACACCATCAGTGGTCAGGAGGGGACACCATCAGTGGTCAAGGAGGGACACCATCAGTGGTTAGGGAGGGGACACCATCTCCTGTGGTCAGGGAGGGGACACCATCAGTGGTGAGGTAAGGGACACCATCAGTAGTTAGGGAGGGGACACCATCAGTAGTTAGGAGGGGACACCATCAACTGTGGTCAGGGAGGGACACCATCAGGGGAGGGGACACCATCACCTGTGGTCAGGGAGGGGACACCATCACCTGTGGTCAGGGAGGGGACACCATCACCTGTGGTCAGGGAGGGGACACCATCACCTGTGGTCAGGGAGGGGACACCATCACCTGTGGTCAGGAGGGGACACCATCACCTGTGGTCAGGGAGGGGACACCATCAGTGGTCAGGAGGGGACACCATCACCTGTGGTCAGGAGGGGACACCATCAGGGTTAGGAGGGGACACCATCACCTGTGGTCAGGGAGGGGACACCACCATCAGTGGTTAGGAGGGGACACCATCAGTGTGGTCAGGGAGGGGACACCATCACCTGTGGTCAGGGGAGAGGGACACCATCAACTGTGGTCAGGGAGGGACACCATCACCTGTGGTCGGGAGGGGACACCATCACCTGTGGTCAGGAGGGGACACCATCACCTGTGGTCAGGAAGGGGGACACCATCAACTGTGGTCAGGGAGGGGATACCATCACCTGTGGTCGGGGAGGGGACACCATCACCTGTGGTCGGGGAGGGGACACCATCACCTGTGGTCAGGGAGGGGGACACCATCTCCTGTGGTCATAGAGACCTGTGGTTAGATCCAGGTTAGAATTGGTCTTTAGCAACCATGGTCATCGTGAAAGGCGGGTGGTCAGGCTCACTGACATGGTCAACACATGTCATCATATCCCAATTGGGTTAATCGATGCTCCTGATTTTGATCACTGGATTGTCGGGTTCAGATTCGATTATTTTCATACCAACACGCCATATAGCTGGAATATTGCTGCGTGCAGCGTTAAACAACAAACAACAGAAAGCATCCCCAATGACCAAAGGGACGGAATCTTCACCTGCACATGACAGCTGGTACATGTCTCCTTCTTTGTTCCAGCTGTTCTCCATTGCCTACCACCAGTGCAGATGGAACTACAATGATGAGGATGATGTGAAATCGTAAGTACTTATTCTAGCTGTTCAAAATTGAAGAGTGTAATCATTAGTATCATATGTAATTTTTCTTCAGAGAAAAGTTTTGAAAAAATGTTTATGGAGGTTTGATAATATTCTTCTGATTCACCTTTTCAGAGTTGCTGAAAACTTTGATAAACATGATATTCCATTTGATGTGATCTGGCTGGATATTGAACACACTGATGGCAAACGGTGAGTACCACAGTATATAGAGATCACTAGTGTAGGTGCTGTGTATTACGTACACACATTTTGCAACAACTGCAAATTTCTGCTGTTAAATAACTACAAAGTTAATCTTGTTAGACACATGTGGAGTAGACCGAGGCAAAAACACAAATCTCATCCAGGTGGCATGGTAGTAACAGCCAGGACTGCTTTGAAGAAAATCGCTTGACATAGTGTTGACCTGGATCCCCTCAGTGTTTGTGCAATGAGTTACCCCGTAGTTATTGTTGCAGATATTTCACATGGGCCGGAGATAAGTTCCCCAACCCCCAGGAAATGGTGGACAACCTGGTGTCCAGGGGCAGGAAGCTGGTCACCATCGTTGACCCCCACTTGAAGAAGGATGACAACTACCATGTGTACTCTGACCTTAAAGCCCGGGATTACTACGTGAAGAACAAGGATAATGGAGAATATGAAGGCTGGTGCTGGCCAGGTGAGCCACAGTGTCGCTGTCAGCCAGTGTACACTTGACTCATGTCATGTTACTAGTGCATTGTCTCCTCACGCATATTTTCTCCTATGTCTGCAGATGTGTTAACCCTATATATGTCTGTTTACATCTGTTTCAGGATGTGTCTGACCTATGTCTGCAGTTGTGTTAACCCTATATCTGTCTGTTTACATCTGTTTCAGGATGTGTCTGCAGATGTGTTAACCCTATATATGTCTGTTTACGTCTGTTTCTGGATGCGTCTGACCTATGTCTGCAGATGTGTTAACCCTATATCTGTCTGTTTACATCTGTTTCTGGATGTGTCTGCAGATGTGTTAACCCTATATATGTCTGTTTACATCTGTTTCTGGATGTGTCTGACCTATGTCTGCAGATGTGTTAACCCTATATCTGTCTGTTTACATCTGTTTCTGGATGTGTCTGACCTATGTCTGCAGTTGTGTTAACCCTATATCTGTCTGTTTACATCTGTTTCTGGATGTGTCTGCAGATGTGTTAACCCTATATATGTCTGTTCACATCTGTTTCTGGATGTGTCTGACCTATGTCTGCAGATGTGTTAACCCTATATCTGTCTGTTTACATCTGTTTCAGGATGTGTCTGACCTATGTCTGCAGTTGTGTTAACCCTATATCTGTCTGTTTACATCTGTTTCTGGATGTGTCTGCAGATGTGTTAACCCTATATATGTCTCTGTCTGTTTACATCTGTTTCCGGGATGTATGTCTGACCTATGTCTGCAGTTGTGTTAACCCTATATCTGTCTGTTCACATCTGTTTCTGGATGTTTCATATCTGCAGATCTGTTAACCCTATATCTTATGTTTACATCTGTTTCAGGATGTGTATGACCTATGTCTGCAGATGTGTTAACCCTATATCTGTCTGTTTACATCTGTTTCAGGATGTGTCTGACCTATGTCTGCAGTTGTGTTAACCCTATATCTGTCTGTTTACATCTGTTTCTGGATGTGTCTGCAGATGTGTTAACCCTATATATGTCTGTTTACATCTGTTTCAGGATGTGTCTGACCTATGTCTGCAGATGTGTTAACCCTATATCTGTCTGTTTACATCTGTTTCAGGATGTGTCTGACCTATGTCTGCAGTTGTGTTAACCCTATATCTTGGATGTGTCTGACCTATGTCTTCAGATGTGTTAACCCTATATCTGTCTGTTTACATCTGTTTCAGGATGTGTCTGACCTATGTCTGCAGTTGTGTTAACCCTATATCTGTCTGTTTACATCTGTTTCTGGATGTGTCTGCAGATGTGTTAACCCTATATATGTCTGTTTACATCTGTTTCAGGATGTGTCTGACCTATGTCTGCAGTTGTGTTAACCCTATATCTGTCTGTTTACATCTGTTTCTGGATGTGTCTGCAGATGTGTTAACCCTATATATGTCTGTTTACGCTCTGTTTCTGGATGCGTCTGATATATCTGTCTGTTTACATCTGTTTCAGGATGTGTCTGACCTATGTCTGCAGTTGTGTTAACCCTATATCTGTCTGTTTACATCTGTTTCAGGATGTGTCTGCAGATGTGTTAACCCTATATATGTCTGTTTACGTCTGTTTCTGGATGCGTCTGACCTATGTCTTCAGATGTGTTAACCCTATATCTGTCTGTTTACATCTGTTTCAGGATGTGTCTGACCTATGTCTGCAGTTGTGTTAACCCTATATCTGTCTGTTTACATCTGTTTCAGGATGTGTCTGCAGATGTGTTAACCCTATATATGTCTGTTCACATCTGTTTCAGGATGTGTCTGACCTATGTCTGCAGATGTGTTAACCCTATATCTGTCTGTTTACATCTGTTTCAGGATGTGTCTGACCTATGTCTGCAGTTGTGTTAACCCTATATCTGTCTGTTTACATCTGTTTCTGGATGTGTCTGCAGATGTGTTAACCCTATATATGTCTGTTCACATCTGTTTCTGGATGCGTCTGACCTATGTCTTCAAATGTGTTAACCCTATATCTGTCTGTTTACATCTGTTTCAGGATGTGTCTGACCTATGTCTGCAGTTGTGTTAACCCTATATCTGTCTGTTTACATCTGTTTCTGGATGTGTCTGCAGATGTGTTAACCCTATATCTGTCTGTTTACATCTGTTTCTGGATGTGTATGACCTATGTCTGCAGATGTGTTAACCCTATATCTGTCTGTTTACATCTGTTTCTGGATGTGTATGACCTATGTCTGCAGTTGTGTTAACCCTATATCTGTCTGTTTCTGGATGTGTATGACCTGTCTGCAGTTGTGTTAACCCTATATCTGTCTGTTTCTGGATGTGTATGACCTATGTCTGCAGTTGTGTTAACCCTATATCTGTCTGTTTCTGGATGTGTATGACCTATGTCTGCAGTTGTGTTAACCCTATATCTGTCTGTTTACATCTGTTTCAGGATGTGTCTGACCTATATCTGCAGATGTGTTAACCCCATATCTGTCTGTTTACGTCTGTTTCAGGATGGGATCTTGTTATCAGGCAATACTTGACCTGACCTGGTCGATTCATGTCACTGTATCCCAGTTACATAGAATGATGCGCATGATGTCAACCCCTGGATTGTCTGATCTATACTTGATTATTACTGACAACTGTCATCTAGCATGATAACTGCTGAGCATGGCATTAAACAACAAACCCAAAACATTCATTCCCCACACATCTACCTGATTACATCATGTCTGACCTGTGTCTCTCCCTTTGTGGATGTGTGTGACTTATTTCTGTCTCCAGGTGTTTGAGAGATGTGAGTTTGTAGATGTATTTTACCAGCGTCTGTCTGATAATGTGTTACCTCTTTCTCAGGGTCCTCAGCCTGGCCAGATTTCTTCAATCCTGCAGTACAGGAATGGTGGGCTGGCAAGTTTGCCTACACGGAATACCCGGGATCATCCAAGGATGTCTTTGTGTGGAACGATATGAACGAACCATCAGTCTTCAATGGGCCTGAGATCACATTCCAGAAAGATGTGAAACACCATGGTGACTTGGAAAACCGTGACGTCCACAATCTATATGGTTTCCTCGTGGTGAGTGTTCCTCCACACAGACAGATTATTTGGCAGTGCAGCTCTTGTAGTCAGGTTGTGTCAGGTCTTGCTTCATATATCTATTGTCAGTTGTTCTACTTTTCAGCATAAAGCTACATGGGATGGACTGTTGAAAAGATCTGACGGCCACCTCCGGCCATTCCTGTTGACCAGGGCTTTCTTCGCAGGATCACAGAGATATGGTGAGGACTTGTTGCAGATTGATGCCACACAATAGTTTGTCTCCTGAGTAGGTGTAGATTGCCTCTGTTGTACATGTTGTACCAGTGGTGTGGGAAGGTAAAATGTTGTCTGTGTGTGCAGGTGCTGTATGGACTGGTGACAACATTGGTGAGTGGTCCCATCTGAAGGCTGCCAACCCAATGATCATGTCTCTAAACATAGTGGGCATCACTTTCTCAGGAGCTGATGTTGGCGGCTTCTTCCGAAACCCGGACACAGAGCTTGTCACCAGATGGTACCAGGTATGCCACCTTCTATAGAGCAGTTTCTCTCAAACACTCTTGCCTTGCTGACCAGGCTGTGCCACACATGAAGTACATGAAGTGTGGTAATTACTCTAACCATGTGTTAGTAAAATATTCCTTGCATGATAATTCCTTGCATTGATAACTTTAATGCCAATTAATTGGTTATTAAAAGAATGACTAAACTACTTCTCCAGGCTGGAGCATTCTACCCTTTCTTCCGAGCTCATGCTCACTTGGATACAAAGCGTCGAGAGCCCTACCTTCTGCCTGAAGAGAACATGAAGGTGATCCGGGACGCCGTGAGGACCCGCTATACCCTGCTCTCCTACATGTACACACAGTTCTACAAGTCCATGGAGAGTGGCAGCCCCATCTTTCAACCCATGTGGGTGGAATTCCCAGAGGAAACAGCAGTATTCGGCATAGATGACCAGTTCATGCTTGGTAAGGGGATTGGTCAGATATGAAGAAGCAATTGGAAAATAGTTTATCAAGCTTCTTCTCCAGCCCCACATATCAACCTAATCCAAAATTGAACTTGCTTGGCAGTCATTGTGTTTGCTTCCATTTATCTTGTATTAATTTTTCTTATCCAGACACAATGATGTTGATGATGTAACAGAACCCATAATGTGTGAAACCATGTGGTCAATTCATAAATGTTTATTAGCGAATAAATGAAAAACTTACCAAACGCATCCAACTAAAGGTGGGACATGCATTACTTTCTGATACAATAAATATGCCAGTTCCTCTCATGTCCTCCAGGACCTGCATTGTTGGTGAAGCCAGTGACGGAGCAGGGGGCTTCAACAACCACTGTGTACTTTCCTGGGGCAGGACAGGTAGGGCTTGTACACTGGTGATCAACATACCAGGGGCAGGACAGGTAGGGCTTGTACACTGGTGATCAACATACCAGGGGCAGGACAGGTAGGGCTTGTACACTGGTGATCAACATACCAGGGGCAGGACAGGTAGGGCTTGTACACTGGTGATCAACATACCAGGGGCAGGACAGGTAGGGCTTGTACACTGGTGATCAACATACCAGGGGCAGGACAGGTAGGGCTTGTACACTGGTGATCAACATACCAGGGGCAGGACAGGTAGGGCTTGTACACTGGTGATCAACATACCAGGGGCAGGACAGGTAGGGCTTGTACACTGGTGATCAACATACCAGGGGACAGGACAGGTAGGGCTTGTACACTGGTGGTCAACATACCAGGGGCAGGACAGGTAGGCCTTGTACACTGGTGATCAACATACCAGGGACAGGACAGGTAGGGCTTGTACACTGGTGGTCAACATACCAGGGGCAGGACAGGTAGGGCTTGTACACTGGTGATCAACATACCAGGGGCACTGGGGTTCAGGATATGTCCACATCCAGTCAAAATGAGGGGGTGATACTCACTTGATCATGTTATAATCCATAAAAATACAATGTTCAATAAATGTCAAAGATGTATGATGACTGAAGGTAGTTACTTTATTTGAAGTTTTAATTTGTTATCATTCGTTGGTTTCGTTGTGTACAGTGAATCTTGATGTATTCACATACAGTTTGTCCCTTTTGTTCATGAGAGCAATATACGCTGACATTTTCACATTAAATTAATGATTTGCAGCAACATTAAATTTATGACTTAAAGCGACATTAAATGAAAAAGCAGATGTCCTAAGCAAGGATTTAATCAGCTCTTAAAACACGAGAATGTCAAATGCATCTTTGTTCATCACTGTTTTATATCTGGATGTGGAGTAAGAAAGAAAATTAATCACTACGTCAACATCAACATTAAAACCACCACAGAAATGAATAATTTGGGATCATACTCTGTAGCTTCCATTATGCCCCAGTATTGTGAGACACTGGACTTTCTGGAACTGCAGTGTGCTGCTCATTTCAGCTGTGGTACGACCTGTTCACGTATGACATCCACCAGGGGGATCAGGAGAAGAGCGTGGCGGGAACTCTCGATAAGGTAGGCCAGTTCACTAGGGACACATCAACACCTCTCATCACTTGGTTGGCATCACTTAAATGGTGTAAGAATCTACATCAAAACTTCACTAAATGAACTTGTTATCCATAAAGTTGTATGTGTTTTCTCTCATTTCTAGAATGTCAATCAAACCAATGTATATGTTGGTTTCTAATTTTTGTTTATTAATGTCAGAGATGTTTGGCGGGCCTGAAAGAAATTGATGTTTAATTGCACCATACATGTGATTATCTTGCTTAGATTCCCGCTTACCAGAGAGGAGGCACCATTGTACCCCGGAAAATGCGAATTAGAAGGTCATCCACTCTTATGTATGATGATCCATTTACTCTGGTTGTCTGCCTTGACAAGCAGGTAAGTATACGTTGGCTGAATGCTGCCAGCAAAACCAGTAAATATCTATTACATAATCGTGAATGTGGCTTTTGAACCAGCTATTCATGGCAATCACCAGTTCACCAAACATTGATCAATGACATTTCTCCAAGAACTTGTTATAGGATCATGTCCCTGGCATTTCAACTCTTGAATTTCTGGATTATTGTTGTAATTTGGAATGTGTTCCAAAAGTTGGTATGGATACATTATATCAGGAATTTAGTTAAGGAATGTTTTATCAGAAGTGTTCTTGATATGGAAAATACAGTATTTTACTATATTCTCCCTTCTTGCTGATGGTGTGGTTATCATTTGATAAGTTTTAATTTTCCCATACAGGGCGAAGCTCAGGGAGAATTATATGCAGATGACTACCATACATTCCAGTTTAAAAATGGCCACTATGTTTATAGAGGCTTCACCTATAAGGGCAACACTCTTGAGAGCAAGTAAGTATAGATGTGGCAGTGTATTGCACTATGTGTTCTCCCAGTGGTGGGATCTACCTGCAGCATAACTTCAAACACTAAGTACAAGTCACCAGGGATAAACCTGGCTCTTCAAATCTTATGAGATTTAACTGTTCGTGATCGTTCACAAGAAAAGGAATAAACGACAAATATGTCATATGTATTTAACTCTTTCAACACCAGTCAACCAGAGGCATTTACTACCATGACAAAATCATGCTATTCTGAACGTGTTACGCAAAAAATCACCACATATACGTATATTATGGAACTTATTGGACGTATCGTGCTAGGTTATGACCTGTGACAAAAAGGCTTCATGCATATATTTTAGCATTAAACATCGTGTCCGAACGCTAAGTTCGAGGCGATCAAAGCTGAGATGTCACTTGAATTACATTACACGATCGCACAAAAAAGATGGAAATAGTAAGTTGTAAAGCATGTTTGACAACTTTCATGAGTACTGTTGTTGATTTTATTCTTCTGTTTATTCAATTTGTTTAATTAAGTGTTTTCAGACATTGTTAAAAGTGACATATTTAATAAATGAATCATACGTTAGTTAGGTTCCTAAAATTATATGATATATCATTTTGATGCAACTACTGCCTGGCCGGTTTACCGGCCTATGGTGTTGAATGGGTTAATCAACTTCAAGTCGGTGGTTTCGTTAGCAGACGCTTTTTGGGAGGCATAATGTTGTAGAACACAACTTCCGAACGCGAACTCTGTACAGCGTCGTACAGTGCATAAACAACACAGTACCGCGAGGTTCTGAGTTTACCATACTCCTTGCAGCGCATCTCGTTTTGTACAGCACTGTGTAACGATGTTCGAAGTTCCATACCGGAAGTTATGTTTCGATGATTAAAAATAGGTAGAAAGCAACGGGAATATCTTTGACAGAACAAAATAACGACAAAGCCTTTCTCAGTAAAATAGATTTAAACACTTTATTATTTCTAATTGTACAGGTGAGCAGGATGCGATTTTAAATCACTGCAGATAAATTTGAGTGTGATTTTATAGCACTTGATGCGAGAAAATCGCGATATCGCGGCCCAAGTCAATCCCTGGTCACTAAAGGGAAAAAGGAAACAATGATTATACCACCCTGTAGTCCATAACATTTGGAGATTTGGGAAATATCTCATTACACACTGACGTTGCCATAGATGTTTTGCCTTCAAGTAGTTTTGAGATCTTTCTCGCTCAAAGAATATTTTAGGGACTATTACTACCATTCATTAGTTTGAAGTGTCATAATTGTTGCATTCCTAATAAGATTTGATATTTCTTCTTTCAGAAATTTAGATCCCAAGGGAAGTTACCCAACAAAAGAGTGGTTAGAAAAAGTTATAATAGCAGGAGTTACCAAAGCTCCCAAAACAGTTGTTCTTCGATCAGGTAAGCACACTCCCCAAACAGTTGTTCTTTCGATCAGACAGGCATACCGAAGTCTTTAGCATTCTCCAATGGGGGAATCGGTAGATGGGGATCCTTGGCCAACAGGTGGCAGCTCAGCCACCTTAGACCTGTTGTAGGAGGTGGCTAGATGGGGATCCTTGGCCAATAGGTGGCAGCTCAGCCACCTTAGACCTGTTGTAGGTGGCTAGATGGGGATCCTTGGCCAACAGGTGGCAGCTCAGCCACCTTAGACCTGTTGTAGGAGGTGGCTAGATGGGGATCCTTGGCCAATAGGTGGCAGCTCAGCCACCTTAGACCTGTTGTAGGAGGTGGCTAGATAGATGGGGATCCTTGGCCAATAGGTGGCAGCTCAGCCACCTTAGACCTGTTGTAGGAGGTGGCTAGATGGGGATCCTTGGCCAACAGGTGGCAGCTCAGCCACCTTAGACCTGTTGTAGGAGGTGGCTAGATGGGGATCCTTGGCCAATAGGTGGCAGCTCAGCCACCTTAGACCTGTTGTAGGAGGTGGCTACATGGGGATCCTTGGCCAATAGGTGGCAGCTCAGCCACCTTAGACCTGTTGTAGGAGGTGGCTAGATGGGGATCCTTGGCCAACAGGTGGCAGCTCAACCACCTTAGACCTGTTGTAGGAGGTGGCTAGATATATAAGAACACATTAGCAATGAACAGTTATTACCAACATTCCTCCACCTCTACTATCAAACCAGTACCCATCAAACCAGTATATACACATAATGCTAGACGAGTACATTGGGATGTCCGATATCCTCAGCATCTGACGTATCCCTTACATATACATTTTCTCTTTGCAGCCGGAGTTACCAAGAATCTCGGCTTCAACTTGGATTCGGCCAAACATGTTCTTACAATTCGCAAGCCAGGAGTTAATATAGCACAAGATTTCACCATCTCTGTCAATTAATGCATAACTTTCATTTAGTTAATTCAAAAACACCTTTTGATAATTTTCATGTTTATTGATTTACTAATCATGAAGCCTGCAATGAAAGTTGTATGCCTCCTGGTGTATATACTGTTATGGAAATTTCTCGTCTGTTATAGTGCTGAATGAATGATCAAGTAGTGCTATTTGCAACGAATTAAGTTGAACATAATTTTGACTGAACTTATGATGAAAAAATACATATACTTATTAATTGTAATGCACTACAATTGGTATCCAGTTGTACAACACAGGAAATCCCTTGGTGATGAAAGCGCAGTGAATTCAGTCTGATATTACCTGTCTGCATGCTTTAGTGGTTACTTGGCCTCCATGTGTTATTTACGTACAAGCACCCATAGCAGTGCACTTGAAACCCAGTCCCCTGCATACAGAACAGTTAAGGTATATAGATCATAGGCAGTCTGTTTTGTTCATGGGCCTTTGTTATGAAGTGCATTGAAATGCTCCCCTTTCTCTGACAAAGTATTAAAAAAAGAATGTGGTTTTTTTTCTCCCTTTTTGTCGGTAGTGGCTGGGTGCCATTGACATTGAATGTATGTCAACTATTTCCTGTGCTTGTGTTTGTGGTGCATTGATTGTGCCTGTGTGTAAATCCATTGTGTTTTGTGAGTACATTTCTGTTAGCAGGGTGAAGGCAGAGTTAATGCAGTGTGTTCATCCTGACTGATCCGAAACGCTTTGGCTCAGAATGTCCTAACATTGTGTTCATCCATGTATATTTAGAAGATTCATTTCATCCAAGTCTCATGCTGACTGACCAACAGTGCTATGTTTTAATGGGCCTATTTATTGAAAGTTATGTAAAATGTTGAAAATGTTTGTTGCCTTCACTTGGTTCCAAGGAGACTGAAACTTACAAAAATTGTGCTGATGGAATCTTGGATGAAATACCATGTTTATTTACAAGTTGGAGGTTGCTCCGTGTATGCATGTATGAAAGATGAGACAATGTGGTGAATGTTTGGAGGAAAAGAAATAAACATTTTCATGAATATGTGTTTCTTCAAGTTCTGCTGATGAAAAATTGCAGTAATTACATTGAAGCTGATGAATGGAGAGGTTCTATCCTGGTGACAAGACGTGAGGCATGGGAATCAGGGTACACAACTTCATACTCCCCAAAGGAGCATACTATATCTGCTGCAAGGATTAATACAAATACACACTAATCAGGAAATAGATAAACAATTTATGCAGAGTTATGTTTGTAGCTGTCAATACTGATGAATGCAGCCGAGTAAATTTGTGGGACATACAGTTCCATGGCATTAATAAATTATTTAGGAAATGATGTTTGTTTTACCACTGAGCCAGTACTTCATTGTGTTCTTGCCATGTGTATATAAGACACATCTGACCAGACTGATCAACTACAGGAGACCATCAGTGTCCACTTCTGTTTAATTAGCTGATCAATAGGTACGGTATATCACTGCCAGACAATCTCCCCTCCTGTCCTGGGGTTGTTACAGGCCAGTTGATGTGACATTGAATTTCGGCAGGACTGCTTTACTTTTTCCATCAAGGAACACGCTTGTTACTATTATTTTTTAACATTAAGAACTTAAAAAGGAGTACTTAAATGGAAACTGTGAAATAACTGTTGTACAGAATTCAGTAAAACACTTGATTTGACTGTCATTTTGTCTTATTTGTTTGGAGTGACCCGAGGACTGATTTCAAACCAATGACTGGAGGTGGAGGTTCTGAATGTGGATTGCTATCTTTTCCGTTCTATATCCAACCAAATCTTTTTCTTGTCACTGATACAAATATGAAGCTGAAACAGTAAGAACATTCTTTTACTGACAATGTCACTTCTGCACATTACTTTCTAAAGGCATAACACATGCACCAGTGGAAAATGTTTTGCAGAATGATCCAAATCTTCTTTGGAAAGTCATGATTGGAAGATTAGACCAGAGATTTATTATTTTCTTTCGGCAATCTCACCACTATGATCCATTTCGATGTAAGTACTTAAATGGCCATCATTCATCATAACAATATTGGCACTGCAGCAGAGGACAGCAGGCTGTTGTGTATGTTGTGCTCACTTTTGTAATGGGAAAGGGGCGGTGGGGTACCCTAATGGTTAAAGCGTCCACTCGTCGAGCTGAAGACCCGGTTTCAATTCCCCACATGGGTACAATGTGTGAAGCCCATTTCTGGTGTCCCCTGCCGACTCATACTCGCTCACTGTAGCGGAAAAGACTGACAAGGAACCCTGTCGGTCCTGCCCCTCAAGTTCGCTTCACTGTGAGCCTTATGATCTAGTCAGTCGCCTTTTTGTCTTGCTGATATGGGCCAGTCACACTACATACGAAAAAATATTTCTGTTAAATCTTTTTTTGTATTTCTTTGGACAAAGAAGGTGGAATTGCCAAAAATGTAAGCTAAAAGATATGACAAATGCAGACGTATTTTCACATTTTATTTGTGTGTCCTTATAAATTCATAATACAAATACACTGACACGTAGATTGCATAGAGATTCACTTCCAGCCTGTATGATGTAGCAAGCACTGGCAGACTGGTGGGCAACGTGGTAATGTGGTAGTTGCTGTAGCAAACAAATGGCAAATCAAACTTAATATAACAGAATCATGATTCTCTTCAAATACACTGAACACCACCACACCCATGGACAACATGTTGACAAACACAACCTGGACAGGTGACTGCTATCTATATATATGGCGTGGTTGCAGGATACAAACTTAACCCTTTTCTTCTTCATATTACAATTTTACATGCCGTCCACAATTTCCAAACATTGCATAAAACTATGATCAAAGGCGGTTTCAGAAATGGACAAATGTATTTTGGATTATTTTCCTCAGGCTGGGATTCCTGCAAGCTGAGTCGGAGATGTCCCCTACCCCGATGTGTAAAATGCAACTACACATAAGCACAACCATCACATACTTATCACTGTCCATCAAACATGGAGATTCAGTTCCTGATGGAAAACCACTACCATTAAATTGATATATAAATAACAATAAGCACCATATTTGCAGATGATAGCTATATACAAGCATACTATAAACATAAGCAACTCTGTGACTATTTTTTTAATGAACAGATTACATAATGTACATCTGCATGTGTTGGTGAGTACAATGAAAACATTCCTTCACATCTCCAAGTAACTGAAATTAGTAAGGGGGAAATAAGCAGTCAGGAATTGATCACATAAAGGATAGTGTTACAGATGCGATATACCAGGTACATACACTAGCCCATAAATATGCAAATAAGCAAGAAGGAGCTACTCAATGTCTGCCTACGGAATAAACTACTGACTTGTGTAAACAAAATGTTCAGGTAGGGGTTCCCCAATGTTGGGGTAATTCTTTTGAGAAACATGGCTGTGATTCATGTGGTACTGGATGATGAAAGGAGTGTTGCACTCAAACACATATTCATACATGGTTTCTTAAGTTCATGGGGCGGTGGGGTAGCCTAGTGGTTAAAGCGTTGGCTCGTCACGCCGAAGACCCGGGTTCGAATCCCCACATGGGCACAATGTGTGAAGCCCATTTCTGGTGTAACCCGCCGTGATGTTGCTGGAATATTGCTAAAAGCGACGTAAAACCAAACTCATTCAGTCTCAAGTTCATTGAGTGACATCATATCTTAAAAATCAATTATTTATACTGAGAAGTGTGTTTCCATATTACAATCATTGATGGATCCTAAAAGATATATATTTATGAAACAAACACATTCAGGTAATAGTCTCTGTGTATCTGTTCACCGAATATGTATGTATGGTGTTGTGATGGAGCAGAGTGTGTGGGCAGTCACAGATGTGAAAACCACCACAGACAGTCACAGATGTGGAAACCACCACAGACAGTCACAGATGTGGAAACCACCACAGACAGCCAATCACATTTGTGGAAACCACCACAGACAGTCAGTCACAGATGTGGAAACCACCACAGACAGTCACAGATGTGGAAACCACCACAGACAGCCAATCACATTTGTGGAAACCACCACAGACAGTCAGTCACAGATGTGGAAACCACCACAGACAGTCAGTCACAGATGTGGAAACCACCACAGACAGCCAGTCACAGATGTGGAAACAGCTGGAGAACCAGTGGGGAACAGAAGGCAAGCAGCGAGCACAAATCCAGATAACAATTAAACAGAACAAGCTGAACAAATTTAAATGGGATATACCTTATGGTTTGATGGTGTTGATTGACAAATCATAATAATGTAAACAGATGTGTGTGTGTAAGCTAAAGCCATGAACTGCTAGAACATAATATGTTATCAAATGTGACTTAGTCCAACACACACTATATGAAACCATGGTTAAGTGAGCTTATTGCCTCTCCATGAAAAATACTTTGCCCATTCGTTCTGAAAAGGTTACTTTGACATTCAGAACACATCAGCCCCAACCACTGGTCTAACATTCTAAATACATGTACATAATATGTATTAAATTGGTGAGCTGTTGATTTAATCTTGAACCCATTGCTACATGACTTAGGCATGAACATAGGTAATATTTCACAGTGGGAATATGTTCCTGAACATACATTTCCCTGTAGTAGTGTCTAAGTGATACAGGAATGAGTGAGTATATGCCCCTCTCACCTTCACCAAGATGTTCACCCTGACAATACACACTGTTGGCAGTCCCTAACTAGAAATGCATATCAAGCCCAAATTAGCACATCTTCGCCTCAGTAATTATATGCATTACCTATTCAATGGAAACCAAATGGAATATTTTGAACACTGTTTCCAACGTCTAAAATATATCATATAACATTGTCATAAATTATTTGGAAAAATTGTCATAACATCTTAATTTCAAACTTGAATATTAAGTTGTTTTGCTTCACATTTCCAGACTGAATGTACTGACACTGACACATCAATCTGTACAACATATATTATTCACTCCTTGTCACTCTGGAACTTGTTGATGAGTGACCTCACCCATCCTTTCATGATGACAAGGTTCTCGATGTCTGTGCTCAACTGGTCCAGCCTGCCCAGTGAGCGTGCTGACCTGAGACCACACAGCTCTGGTGAGCTCTCCCTGCCGTGTTCTGATTCCGCCCGCACATGATGGTGCATGAATTGATTACCACCATGGGAGTGACTGCTGCCGCCACCAACCACAGCAAAGTGTGGCCCTGAGATGCCAGATGAGCAGCTGGAGCTGATAGATGTGTTCGAGCTGCTGTTCATGGAGCCAATGTTGCTGCTGGAACTAGGATGCCAGCTCTTGGACTGGCCAAACCTTGGCTCTGCAGCCAGGGACTGCTGAATATCTTTCACAGATTTGGGTTGCACCAACTCCCGTTCTTCACTAGTGTTTCTACTGCTGTGTCTGGAATATTGTGAAGCCTGTTGTAGAGTCTGGAGCCGCTGACGAATCCCAGAGCCTGGTCCCCTACGCTTAACCTCTACAGTAAGTGGAGCCTTTGGTTTATTCCTTTCCTCCAAGATCTGAACAAAGTCTTTGATCGATCGTCTTGGTTTCTTTGGGGTCTCCTTCACAACCTTCTGTTTGGGATCAATGTTGATGTCACAAAACACTGCAGAATCCCGAAAAACTTCGGAGTCAAAAGCTATAGACAAACGACGTTCATAAAAACTATCAACAGAATCAGCAGATGATTCTGACTGAGTTCGTGGCCTAGACATGTTTGGCTCTTTCTGTCTAGTGTCCATGGTGGTGGCCTCATCTTTTTCCTTTTCCGTTTCTTCTACATCCATTTGCTTGACAGGAGGTGTGTTCATGTTGCTGACAGGAGTTGTGGTCTCCATGGAATTACTGTCAGTCACATCACTTTGCATAGAAAACCCAGAGTCTGACTGCTGAATTTCCATGTTGTTGAGAGATAAAGGACTCTGATTTTCAGCAGTTGAAGGCATAATTGGTAAAGACAAACGAGCCTGAGGTTCTGGGGTAGTCTCCTTGCTCGAAAGTTCATAGGAAGAAAGAGAATCGCTGTCCCTTAGAACACAGGCACTATGTGGTCTTAGTTTATCAGTTATCAAGGCCTCTACATTGGGTGGGAGAGAATTAGCCATCCTGGACCCAATAGAGTCTCCACCAAGTCCTCTCTGCCTCAAGAATGTCCTCAGTTCCTCATCGTCCTCCAGAAGATGCTGCTGCCTCTTCAGCTTCTCCGCTCCCTTCTTCCGTGCATGTGGCGAGTCCAGAGTCTCACAGGAAGAGTTTTTACTCTTTACATCATCCATCTTCTCATCATCGGACATGAGCAGGGATGATGGACGGACATCAGACACACTTGACAATGACGAGTGCCCATCGCTGTCCTCCAAACGTTTCGAAAGTTTGGATGTCCAGCTGTGAATCTTGTGTTTGAGTGTATCCATGATCCCTTCACTGGAGCTGCTGGAATGGCTTTCATAAGATGATGTAGAAATATTTGAATGTCTGTTCCCTTTCTCTAATTCATTGTAATGGAAAACAGGCAGATTTGTAGGAAACTTACATGATGGTGAAGAATCATTGTCCCTGGACTTTTTCATATAATCCTCCATCTCAGCTACCATTCTCTCACTATCTGTGAATCCCTCACAGTCGAAAGATGAAGGTCTGTTGGTGGAAGGTTGAGCAATGGTCTTTGATTTGGTCAAAGGTGTGGAATTGGATCTGTTGAGCTGATGACGTGAGAGATGGTCATGATGGGGGAACTTTGGCGACGTTGATGACACAATGATTGAGGGAACACTTGAAGCTACCGTAACCTTGGGGATGTCTGGAACAGTGTCATAGGTTGAGACTGGTCTGGATGCCAGGTTGTTTGTGTTCCGCTTCATTGGGCTTGGGGAGTTATATTCCTGCTTCATGACTGTAGGACTTTTCGGTGGTGTCATAGTCCCTCTAGGTGGCGTACAATATTTGGGAAAATACTTCTGGTTCTCAGTATCATTTAATGAATTTCGGTTAACATATACCATCCAGTCCATATTTTCACGACTACCACTCTTAGGATCACTAGGCTCTGAACATTTCTTCAGTTTATGCCCCTGAGGTTTGACAGATACATTTGACACACTGGCAGATCCAGAGAGCTTCTTAACTTCAGGATTCTTCACCCATGGGTCTTCTGATAAGTGTGACACATCGGTCATTGATCCTTTAGTCAGCTTCTCAGTGCTGCCCCAGTTTGTGAGCTTGGCATTGATTCCCTTCTTGGACGGAGCATCACAGTCCACGGACAGGTGCTTCACAGTATACACAGGGTGACGCAATGCTTTCACTGTCAGGTTTTCAAGGGACTTTTTGGCAAAAGTGTCATGAAAAGCAGGAATGCTTCTACCTTGCTCTTTCTGAGCAATTTTTGTCCACTGCTTTGTCTGAAGATTCACAAGACTTCCCTGTTTGTTCTTTTTCCAGGAGTTGGAATTCATCATCCCACTATCCTTGGGACTCTGTGTCTTTGGATCTTTGGATGGAGGTGTGATATTCAAAACAGGCATACTGGTGTATCTACTCTCCTTGTTGGTTTTCTTGGGTACGTCTCCATCAGACAATTCATCAAAATCTGGCCTACTATTAAACACAACATCATTATATTCTTTCAACCCATCTTGTGTAAGACTTGGATCATCCATATCACTTTCTGAATCTGAATCAATGCTGGGTATAACATCACCAAGATCTTGTGAGGTGATTGGTCTCATCCTGGTTGCAATACGAAAACTCTTGGCTCGACGGACATTGTCACTGGAAGTATCTTTGGTAGAAGCATTGTTATGGCTGGATGCTAGCGTATCAACAGACCCGTGGAAGCTTTTGGATGTGTCTTCAATACCAGCAGTCTGGGAGGATATATCACTCTGGGTCGTGGTTCTGGAGATAGAGGTGCCCTCACTGGACGTGTCAGTCACACTTTGTTGACTCTGGAAAAATATAATGCACTGATATCAAGCTCTGACAAGTATTCAGAATATTCTAAGAAATATAAAATAACATTCTTCTCAAAACTTCTCAAGGTTCATTGATAAAAATGGAACTTACAATACAATAGAATATAGTACATTATAATGATTAATTCTATACATGTAACATGAACAAATGTGACCACCTTTTTGTGCTCCGGAGTTGTCTCCCTTGTTTCACTGGATAATGAGGCATGTGTCTGTCGTCTCTCCATGAGCGGTGACTGTAACAAATGAACAGTTTGTAGATGGCAATGTTTAAAGCACTGCAATATCATCTCAGTCTATATTTGAATCTTCTACTGGACATAGTTAATCATTAGGGATGTCATAATGTGCCTATCTATGTATAAAAAAACATATCACACAACAATAATGCTTATTTTTCAACGTTTGCGTAAAATTCTACAGGTAGCTGCCAGGATATGCTTTTATGAATATTTACATCAAGCAAATTCTAATAGCACAATGCAGCCATATTTAGCAATGTGAGTCATGATAGATGGTAACGTAAAACTAGTCAGGGAAGCTATCAGACTGGGTTATAAGCAAAACACAATCGTAAGATCAAAACAAATTAGAAACCAGGCAAGCTATTCTCGAAACGGTCATAGCCCTACAAACTTCTTAAGCCCATTCTTTATACATTGGATACAATCAAAGTTAAGAATTCTTAGGGCTACGAACGTTTCGAGAATAAGTGCCCTGGAGCTAATAAACAGGTATGATGTAAATCCACAATGCCATACTAGGGACAGATACAGAGTGAGATAACACTGAAGGAAATACTTACTGTTCTAGGGCTGATGTCTCCCTGAAACAGGACAAACACATCATTAATGCATACAAGCTTATAGTCTTCTTCTCAGTAAACAAAGTCTATTGTAAAAGTATTATTTGATTTGGTTTTTTTAATATATTCTAAGTTAATGGGCCACTGATCCAGAGCGATTATTGTTTCCAGCCAACAGTCTAATTACGAAACCTAGCTGCAAACTGGTCAGCCTCTGCTCCCTCAACCGTGACGGACACAGGGACAGGGCTACTGTCCACCCTGGCAGAATTTCTTCAACCTAATCAGTGGGACATTAGGAAGGGTGGATGCCCATCAGATGCCGTTATTTGAAAATATCCCCGGTAGTTCTCGTCTGGTTGTAATAAAGTATCCCAGCAGTGTAGGCTTTTTCAGATTTTCAAATGTTTGGATGGTATAGTGACTGATCCAATTTGATCCTATTTCTGTGTTTTTTTACCTCAATATTTAATCATGTAAAAATATTATGTCTATTACGTATGCTATGATATCTAAAGCATACATTTGATATATTTGAATCCATAAACTAAACAACCCCACTTTGCCATTGCAAAAAAATAAATCTGAAATTTTACTTAGGTACATAGGTATATATATACAGTTTTTAACTAAGTACACAGTAAATGCTTATATATATTTCTTGTGTAACAATGAAGTTCCGTTCGTATCCTCAAAACAGTGTCGGCCCATAAGTTGTTTTTTGGGGCAATCAAACTTGCAAGCAATTCAGCGATTACTTCTCTCTTGCTGTAACCCTTGTTTGGTGGTAAACCTACACATGTTATTTGTCATCATTCACTTGATTGTCAGTTAATGAATTTATAACAGGTATAATTAGTGATAACACCACTTAGATTACCAGACAAAGGTTCCCATTTGACATTTCTTGTGTCTGGAGTAAATACTCATCATTATAAATTGAGGTCTGATGTGGCAAATGTATTACATCTTATGTAATATGTGCATGGAAGTGCAGTAGGAGGAATTATCAGCTGAGTTACAAAACAAACATCGATCAAACGATTAACCGGTAACACGCTGATTGATAAATTGCGTTTATCCTGCACAGCAGATTTGTCAAAAGGTAGTGTTTATGTATGTAGATTTACTACTCATTCCTTTATGTGGATATTAATGGATACATTCCCCGAACAAGGTAATAGCCTGATATTGTTGCTATAACTTTAGTCTGTTTTAATTTTAATATTTGCATTTCATTTTTATTTATTTGTTATGGCATTCAACAGAATCATTTTTTTTGCCATGAAGTGTAATGAGACAGACAACATACACTAGGTCGCACTCAGGGCGTGTGTGTGAAATATGATACACGTTGGCAATCTATAAAATGTCTAGATATTACAATCATGTTATAAATTCACTAAGTATAAGCAGATCGTGTGCATTTTATTAAGTTTCAAAATGCATACAAATATGATAATAAACTAATTAGGATTATAAGACAAAATATAGAGACGTACATTGACTTCGTTATTTCAGTCCTAACATTTTTTACCACTGGCAGATGGTTCAACTTAAAATGTTTTCATTTGTTATCAAAATAATGCCATTTAATACAACATTCAGATTGACTAGTAGTGAACCCAAGCTCACTACTCTCCCTAAGACACCCCATGTACTTAGTTAGCCTTACTTTCAAAACAATGCTAATGTATCAGGCTTCTCACCAAATTCAAGGTCAAACTATTTCTTAAATCAAATTCTACATCCATTTACATTAACATTTTTATAAAGTCAACATTACTATGAAATCAAAATTTTACATCAAAATCAGCATTTTTATCAAAGTGAATATTTTTTCATCAAAAGTCTACATCATTTTACAACAAAATCAACATAAGATTATCGAGTAAAAAATATTTCATCTTTGTTGATCAGTCTTTACTTATACTATCAATTGCGCATGAGGGTGGCGCAGCAGAGGTCACGAACCAGTCATGAATTCTGGGATATCATCCGGGTACTCACGGGAGAAAAACAATAACAAAAGCAACAACCAGTCCTGGATTAGTGGCCCTTTAAATATATTCCTGAAATACCTGTTTGGTAGACCTGATGAACAGAGTATATTATGACAATGAAGCAATCTCAGGACCAGGCATGACTTTTCAGTGATGTCCTCATGGCCCAAAGAGACGTCTTACACAAACTGCTGCTAGATGACGTAGATATAAGTACTGAACATATACTTACTTTTCTGTTTCCAGCTGTAGAAAGGAAATAAAAGGGAAGAAAATGAAATATAGACTCTGTATGTTTGATTTAATGATTTGTAGTATTTCATTATGATGTGGCTGTGTTTCTTACTGTACATTAGGTATGCAAGAGCAAGAAGGAAGAGCTCTGGTTACAATATGTCACCTCCTACATAACAATGTTGGTTGCTTTTAGTTTAATGCTGCACTCAGCAATATTCCAGCTGTATGACAGCCATCTGTAAATAATCGAGTCTGGACCAGACAATCCAGTTATCAACAGCATGAGCATCAATCTACGCAACTGGGATACAATGACATGTGTCAACCAAGTCAGCGAGACTAACCACACGATCACGTTAGTCACCTCTTACAACAAGCATGGGTTACTGAAGATCAATTCTAACCGGGATCTTCAGGGGTCACATAGCAACATACACCCCACTATCAAATAACACCAACTTACATGATCCTCTCTTTGCTTTCTGGGGCTTCAACAGATCTGAAACAAATACCAGTACATCAATCATTACGTTCTGGTGACTAATGGTAACAAAATATAGATGGGTGTTGTGAGGACCTCACAGACCATGCACCAACATCTGCCTATAGACGAGGCATAAGAAGCAGGTCAGCAACCTTTGAAGATTTGTTTTAAAAGGGGGGAGCACACTACCCATGTGACAAAGTGACCAAAAGAGAAATGAAAAAATCAAACTTGGCCGACAAAAAGTGTCTGTATCTGGCTATGGTATTTAGGACCCTGTGCACTCAGACCTGTCACATGCCTTATAATCTCAAGTAGGAGCATGACATTTACCCACAGATTTGATAGATTTATGATGTCTTTGCCATGTACTAGGAAATGGTATAGGTGGGTTGCCTCCCTTACCTGGCAGTCTTCCACCAGATTTCCGTCGCCCTCTCCGGCGCTCCAGGTATTCAGGAGCCGTGTGGTGAGTCCGCCTTGGGTCGAGGTTCTCACTGTTCACATAGTCTGAAACATCACCATGAATCACACATCAGAAACCTCAACAAAACCACAACTCAATCATACTTAGAGGACTGTTATACTTCTTCAACTGTCTGTTATTTGTACAGTGCCATGTTGGTGTATATACATGGACAGCCCAACCAAAGCAGCTCCCTCGGAGCTTCCAACTCCAAGAGACAAAAACATTTTGAGATGCAAGGTCTAAGGTCTGCCAGGTCCTGAAGCATCCCTGAAGCCAAGGCATAATTGCAAAATCCATTCTCAGAAAAGTGACTGCAAATGATGTATTCATACCTATTTGTGTAATTTGTAATGGGTTTTTAATTTTTCATGTAAACCCAGTTTGTTGTGATATTTATCAGTTTTGTTGTGAGAGTGGGACATGAGTAGTAAATGTGTGAGTCTCAAGCCAAGGCATGAGAGTTGGCAGGTATGGCTCCACTCACCGTCATCGTGGTTCCTGCCAAGCTCCATCACGAGGCTCTTCACCTTGTCTGGGATCTTCCCCTTGTAGGTCTCCAGAATGAGTCGCTTTATCTCCTGGCACCACCGCCGCTTCTGCTCCATGTTCCGTGCCTGCACAGAGAACAAGTCAGCATAAGGTCATATCTCTGATATACAGTTTGGCATCCTTAAATGACCAACATTGACATACTGTAATCATAGTTATTTTCATGGGGGATTAATTTTCGTGAAATATTCATGGTCAAGTCATGACACATACTCAAGTTGGAACAACATGCAATTTGTTATGCAGCCAATCAATGATATGACCATGTGAATGACACGTGTTCATAAACAACAAACACTACTTTATGATTTCTATGTTTAATTATCGTAAGTACTGGTATACACTCTTCCTTAATTCGTTGTCAGTTGATCTCGCACATGGTACAGGTATTGTCATGTTGATCCCACACCTCTCTCAGACTGTTGCAGTAAACACGATTCAATTATGGGGGCTAGCTTTGATCACTGCATGTCTATTGGTTGTGAAAACTTTGTGATGGATACCATCACTCAGGTGTTTGAAATGCACGAAAAAGCAACTGCGCTAACAGGTCTTTTGTGAACTTTCCGCGAAAATTGCACCCCGTGAAAATATATATGATTACAGTAGTTTTGTAGACAGAGATGACTGAGTGCACCTACCTGCAGTGTAAACTGGGCCCGAGGGTTGTCGAAGGGTATAAGGTGGAAGCTCAGAGGCTCATTGGGGATCACCTCCACCAGCATCAGGTTGGCCAGCTGTGAACACATGGAGCAGCAGGGGTATAATAGGAAGAAGATATCATAAGAATGTGTTAGGCAGATCTGTCACAGAACTTGAATGTGATACACTGTTTCCATTAAAGAATGATTGAGTTTAGTTTTACGCCACTTTTAGCAATATTCCAGCAATATCACGGTGGGGGACACCAGAAAATAGGTTTTACACATTGTACCCATGTGGGGAATCGAACTTGGGTCTTCTGCGTGACGAGAGAGCGCTTTAACCTGTAGGCTACCCCACCGCCATTAAAGAAAGTTTGTAGATACTTGAGGACAATAAACTAATGTGAGACAGGGTGTTTGCTAGTGAGGATGGTGAGGATGAAAATACAGTAAATGATGTACTCATGCCTCACTGTTGTGTGTGAAGGGTTACCTGAATGGATGCCTTGCAGCCCAGCATCCCACCTTCCTTCTTCTTGCTGATGAGGATCTCACGCTCAAACAGGAACACCTGGCGTGATGCCTTGGCGCCATACACTCGGAACGGACCCTGCAACACACCAGGAACATGCAGAAACAAGCTGTTGATCACTCAAACATAGAGCAGTGTTACAGCGGCTTCTGGTTAGTCTGTCTGGAGTTTGATGTCTCTTTTGAACTTACCTCCAGGACCAGGTCCCCTAGTCGAATGAGGTCCTCACCCGCATACTCCTCCAGCTGGCTCTGTATCTCCTGGATGCGGACAGCATGCTCATGTTTACGCTTCATCTCGTTGATGTGGTGGGCCATCTCGGTCATGTGTTTGAAGGCTTTGTTCAATGTGTCATATCCTGATTTGTCCTTGTCAAAAAACTTCAAAATGTTCTGAAATAGAATACCAGCGTAATTACCACATTACAAAATTGAGGCATTTGCCTGAGATCATGGAGCAAAGGCCAAGTAAGTAACAGTAAACCAAGGAAAACCAAGTTCTCTACATTGACCCAGAAATCCTTAGTTCATGATTGTATAAAAGGTGAAAAAAGGATTTCTCAATATTATCAGTGTGACAGATGTAGACGTAGAGCCATGCTATGCCGACTAGGGATGGCTATTGACATAGATCATAGACATCGATCATCGTTAAATGAATATCCATCAATTATTGATACATATCGTTGTAACTTTGAGCAAAATTGACAAAAACATCTCAAAGAAATGAATACATTTCACATCAGTTGTTTCAGGTGACATGTGTAGGCTTGGATTACCAGCAACACACCATCCTGAACATACTCTAGCAGCAGCTTATGAAGTAGGACCTACCTTTGTGTATTGTCTGAGTAAATATAAAAATCATTTCATCACAATGGTTGATGTACGACATTATTGATTACACAATTTTCTTATCGATAAAAATTAATAATGATTCCCATCGATGATATTTCTGATTATTGATCTTTTTAACCAGCCCTAATGCCGACTACCTACACACCAATATCTACCTCAATATCTGCAATAACTGCTGCTTAATGTGGAACACATTGTTTTCTTAATAGGGAATATTAAAGATTTGATGTCAGCTACCCACCACATTTCCCCACCCAGTACTATTGTCTGCCAAACTGACCCCCACATCCAAACCTAACCCCTCCCACAACATACCTGTAACAGCAGGTGATACTTGAGTATCCTCTGCACAGGGCGGAGTAAGTATGCCCCCAAGGGCAGCCCATGCCCCAGGGCAAGTTGACGCTGTTTGAACAACTCCGACATCTGCGGATCCATCATGTAGCGAGTGAGCACTTCCACGGCGCTGTACAACATGCAAGTCAAGTCCAATATAGATAGCTACACACATACAACACACAAAACATTGTCATTTAACTTCAGGGACACTATTCCTGTACAACATGCAAGTCAAGTCCAATATTGATAGCTACACACATACAACACTCAAAACATTGTCATTTAACTTCAGGGACACTATTCCTGTACAACATGCAAGTCAAGTCCAATATAGATAGCTACACACATACAACACACAAAACATTGTCATTTAACTTCAGGGACACTATTCCTGTACAACATGCAAGTCAAGTCCAATATAGATAGCTACACACATACAACACACAAAACATTGTCATTTAACTTCAGGGACACTATTCCTGTACAACATGCAAGTCAAGTCCAATATAGATAGCTACACACATACAACACACAAAACATTGTCATTTAACTTCAGGGACACTATTCCTGTAACTTCAAGGATAGCTACACACATACAACACTCAAAACATTGTCATTTAACTTCAGGGACACTATTCCTGTACAACATGGAAGTCAAGTCCAATATTGATAGCTACACACATACAACACACAAAACATTGTCATTTAACTTCAGGGACACTATTCCCACTGCAATCATGGAGATTAATATATATGGGATTTCAGTAAGAAAAAAATCATTTGAAAACATGTCGGCATTTCTAATAGAATCCTGTGGAAAGTGACTGGGATTAGAAATACCACATGTTGATCAACCCGCAGTTTTTGTAAATTTGGTATGTATCAACTTTGATACCTTATTGTACATATCTCTACACAATATTTTTTCATTGATTCATGAAGAACAATATCTCTTTCAAGAATAATATTCCCTTAAGCCATGTTTATACCTGATACCGGTAATTTAAATAACTTTCCTGTGACTGTACACAGAGGTGAGACAATTACTACATCCCAGATCAAACAGAGAGGGATTGGCAGTCAGGTGAACAATGACACTATCAACATCTGCAAACACAGCAACTCCACACACTGCCTAGTCAAGAAATTATTAGAACACACCCATTGAGAAAAAGAAACCTGTTTATTTGTAAAGTTAACGCCTTTGAATGTCTTTCTGAAACAGTTCAGGGATTTGTTTCCATAGCAAGGGAAAGAATTTCTCTCTGAATCCTTCATATGTATCTGTTGTTTTCTGAAAGCCATTACCGTATTTGCCATGATAAGCATTTCACATGCTAAATAGTAAAAGTAAAATGGGTTGCTGTACTAAAACCATACATATTGAGTTAAGGCTACAGTACATTGACTGATCTGAGGCATTGTTTAGTCAATAACCCTCACGTTTACTCAGCCCTGCTTGGCAGTTTTCCACGAGAAAAGTTACTGCTGCCGTTAGCACAACCTTTGTGTAGGCTTCTCATGTGACAAAACCATTCTTTTGTTTGTAAACATATGCACTTATTTTGAAATAAGAACAGATGGACCTTCAGTAACCTTTCTATACAGTTTTGCATAATTAGATATGCTACTACATCTGCGATGGGGAGATGCATGATGAAAATGGAAATACTAGGATATTGTCTCACTGGAACTTAATCATTTCATGACATATGTGGGTCTTAATGTGGAGATGCATAAACAATGACAGCTGAGCATTGCATGCATTATCTTGAATGGTCAGTCGATAAATTGTCAGTTTTAGTATGGGTGCTATATAGAGAATGCTTACATATTGGTACAGTGAGTGAGTGAGTTGGATTTTAAGCCTCTTGTAACAATATTGCAGCAATATCACGGCAGGGGACACCAGAAATGGGCTTCACACATTGTACCCATGTGGGGATACACAGGGGGCAGTTGGACGTGTAATACAGCCAGACAGTATCTGTGACAACCCTACCCTGGTGTACAGCTTGACAATGTTCCTTCAACACATTGCAAACTGGGATCCCAAATTACTATCAAATAGCATGTGTGCAGTCTAATAGCATTAGTTCGGTGGTTGGAGGACTGGCCAGGTGTGTTGTTCTAACAAATACACATTGTCTTGCTGAACCTCAATGAAATCAGTTGCGCAGTGGAGTCCCCCTGATAAAGCAAACACAGTGAGATGTGGCAATTCTATTGTGTAATCGACATGGACCAAACATAATTTTCGTGTTTCTGTGTCAAGGGTGTGGGTGCTCCAAGATGACAAAGTGTATTACCATGAGAACAAGATTTGAGAGAAAATGTGTGGGTGAAAAGTGTGACAATGTTGTCAGTTGCCAGAGGCAAATTTGTGAGTTTTCACAAGGGACTTGCTCCCATGTTTAGTTTTATTAAGTCAATATTTCTCATCCTGACAAAGTCAATTTCCCACTTGCTGTTAGATGGCAAGTACCTTGACATGGCTGTTCTTATTCCCGAGAGAGCTTTGTAGAGTTTACCTGATCTATACAACAGCTAAATTTATGATATACAAAGATTGCAGTCTAGCATACCATTTCAACTGTAAAAAATCAAACACAGTTTATCATTCACAAGTCTTGTCAAGAAAATGAATAATAGCTGCATGATAACCTTAAAATCTCTGAAAGTCAATAGTTGTCTTCTTTGTTTGAGTAGACCTTGTGCCAGGTAATGGCATGTTATAGGATCATCATACAGATCAATAGTAACATTTGGGGCGAGGGTGATAAGCCCGGGCACCCACCTGGGGTAGTTGGTGCAGTAGTCAGTGTAGATGACAAAGCCCTCATTGTTCCTGACAAAGCACTCGGCCACCTTGACAGGGTCCCCATCACACTTCTCCACCTCCCACAGAAACAACCTGCAACCAACACATGACCAGATACATCACATCCTTGTGTAACACATAGCTACATGTCATGCAGTAGTTTACCCTCCTTCATACTGAGGCAAAGGTTACACCCAAAACACACATGTATCCTGCACAAGACCTCTCTTATTCGCAACTTGTAAATATGTTAAACATTTGTAATCGGCTGAGTCCTAAACATAAACCATAAAATTCAAATATTGACAACTTGACATCCTCACACATAAACTTTCATCGTCATGATGTGACAGATATTTGAGCTTTGCTCTGCCGTTGTGACATGGTGCCTGGTTCAGCAGCTGTGTACATGCTTCACGGTGTATATATCACCTCAGGCAATGGCATTGCACTTTGATGTTTATCAGGTTCTGGAACATCTTTTAGCAGGCGAGATAAACAAATGAGTATTCAACACTTCTAGAAGAAAAAATACTATGTATGGATTTCCCATTCCTTACACTGCTGTGTTACCAAATGCTGTCTAGCTTCCTGATTTGTATTTACTCACTGTATGTGCCAGAACTCACCTTATCCCTATATTAGCCTTCACCCCTCCCCACACAAACATATCACTCCCTATTTCAATGTCCCCAATCTCATTCCTATATCAGTAACCCCTATATCAGTCTTCACCCTTCTCCAACCTATCACATCACTCCCTATTTTGGAATCCATGACCTCATCCCTACATGAGCCTCCACCAATCCCCTCGATGCCCAGTATATCACTCCCTATGTCAGTGTCCCCAACCCCATCCCTATGTCAATACTCACCCCCACCCAAATACATCAATCCCTATGTCAGTGTCCCCAACCCCATCCCTATGTCAGTGTCCCCAACCCCATCCCTATGTCAATACTCACCCCCACCCAAATACATCAATCCCTATATCAGTGTCCCCAACCCCATCCCTATGTCAATACTCACCTCCACCCCAATACATCCATCCCTATGTCAATACTCACCCCACCCCAATACATCAATCCCTATGTCAGTGTCCCCAACCCCATCCCTATGTCAGTGTCCCTAACCCCATCCCTATGTCAATACTCACCCCACCCAAATACATCAATCCCTATATCAGTGTCCCCAACCCCATCCCTATGTCAATACTCACCTCCACCCCAATACATCCATCCCTATGTCAATACTCACCCCCACCCCAATATATCACTCCCTATGTCAGTGCCCCCGACCCCATCCCTATGTCAATACTCACCTCCGCCCCAATACATCCATCCCTATGTCAGTGTCCCCAACCCCATCCCTATGTCAATACTCACCCCCCACCCCAATACATCCATCCCTATGTCAGTGTCCCCTAACCCCATCCTTATGTCAGTACTCACCCCCACCCCAATACATCCCTATGTCAGTACTCACCTCCACCCAAATACATCAATCCCTATGTCAGTGCCCCCGACCCCATCCCTATGTCAGTACTCACCTCCACCCCAATACATCCATCCCTATGTCAGTGTTCCCAACCCCATCCCTATGTCAATACTCACCCCCACCCCTTACATCCATCCCTATGTCAGTACTCACCCCCACCCTTACATCCCTCCCTATCAGTACTCACCCCCACCCCTTACATCCATCCCTATGTCAGTACTCACCCCCACCCCTTACATCCCTCACTATGTCAGTACTCACCCCCACCCCTTACATCCATCCCTATGTCAGTACTCACCCCCACCCCTTACATCCCTCACTATGTCAGTACTCACCCCCATCCCTTACATCCCTCACTATGTCAGTACTCACCCCCACCCCTTATATCCCTCACTATGTCAGTACTCACCCCACCCCTTACATCCCTCCCTGTGTCAGAACTCATCCCCACCCCTTACATCCCTCACTATGTCATTACTCACCCCCACCCCTTACATATTTTACTTTTATCAATGAGCGTTTAGTTTTCAATGAACAAGAGTCATCAGAAGATGACATATCCGCCCGGCCCCCACATCTTTGAAAGAACAAATCATCTGACAGTTACTTGAAGTCCAGCTTGATTTTAGACTACGTGCAAATCGTTTCCATGGAAATCATGGAAAAACATAAATGACAAAAATCTGCAAATAGCAAAAGGCACCACTTCAAGATCTGCCTAACATATCTGCCAAGTTTTGCTGAAAGATATTAAGAAGTTTTCGCGTTGTGCTCCGGAAACAAAACCTACCCCTCCCTTTTGAGACTAAGTCTGAATCGTTTCCATGGAAACCGAGAAAAAGAAAAATGCCAAAAAGATGTCAAGACTAAAAGGCATGACTTTGGGATCTGCCTAACATATCTGCCAAGTTTTGTTGAAAGATATTAAGAAGTTTTCGCGGCGTGCTCCGGAAACGAAACCCACCCCTCCCTTTTGAGACTAAGTCCGAAACATTTCCATGGAAACCGAAAAAAATAAATATGACAAAAATCTGCAAATAGCAAAAGGCACCACTTCAAGATCTGTCTCATATATCTGCCAAGTTCTGTAGAAAGATATTGAACGGTTTTCAAGTTGTGCTCCGGAAACGAAGCGCACCCCTCCTTTTTGAGACTAAGTCCGAATCGCTTCCATGGAAACCATGAAAATAATAAATCACAAATATCTGTAAATAGCAAAAGGCACCCCTTTAGGTTCTGTTTGATATATCTACCAAGTTTTGCAGAAAAATACTGAACGGTTTCTGAGTTATGCTCCGGAAACAAAGCCCACCCCTCCCTTTAAGACTAAGTCCAAAACGTTTCATGGAAACCGAGAAAAATAAAAATGAAAAAAATCTGTAAATAGTAAAAGTCACCACCTTAGGTTCTGTTTGATATATCTACCAATTTTTGTTGAAAAATATCAAACGGTCTTGGAGTTATGCTCGAAACAAAAACAAAATCAATCGGATCGGACGGACGGACAGACGGACGCATTACATGCCGGGGGGATAAAAATGTACATCTCTGAACACAGTACTACCATTAGACTTGCAGTGCAGTGATGTCATAGCATTGTGACGTCATGAAGTTCATAATGTCATAGCATTGTTAAGGTATTGTACAAAATCTACTGTCAAAACGGTATCTCCTAGGAGATATCGTTTGATCTCACACAAGCAATACCTCCTGTGGAACACAGTTTTGGATGATAAAGCTAAACAATGTACCTTCCAAATTCATATATATCCCGTATATTGCTGAAGAGACATTTGAGGTCCTCTTCTTTCACAGCATTCAGTGACAGTTTCTCCAGGTACTCCAGGTAGCCCTGAAACATAAGAAACACAACAGTCAACACTGCATGTACTGAGTCTAGACAACAACAGGGAGTCATCTGGACATCTTTGTAACAATGATTGTCTCACATTATCCGTGATTGAACATAGGAGATTAATGCTGCAATAGACCCCTAGACCTAATAGAGAAAGAAGGAGGCTTGAGGGTTGGGGCTTCAACCTGGCATAGATGTACACAATATTATTATACATTTCTGCCCAATTTAATCTGAAATTCCTTTCCCTTACACAAATGGATCTGTAGCTCTGCTTTGAACTTTCGAGATATCAGAGATTCTAGATTGGTTTCAGTAGAAGCTGTGATATGTGACAAATGTATAGTGCTAACACCATGTACCCAGTGTTCTGTGCCCTGATGTTGAGTTAAACAGCACTGCCAAGTCTCAAGGTAACAGGTGCAGAACACTTCTTTATCACCCCATAGAGAGCCCCCAGTTGGACAGTTCACCAGGAGCAATCGGCTGCTATCTATATGTGTATATTTCTATCTAGACAGTATCTGTCAGCCTGCAACATCACTTAGTGTCAGCTGACAGTCACACATATCCCCCATAATCCATTGCAGCAGGAAGTAGTGTCGGCTGTTTATCAATGGGGTGGATTGATAAGTAGTAATCACAGTATCCTTGGAATTAGGATTGTCCTGTGTTTTCACGGCTTCAGCACATTGGTTTCCAAATATCACCACAATACTCAGGTTGAGATTTCCATGATTTCCATGTTAAACATGTCCTCCTGTACTGCTGTACAATCAAGTGGCAGTCCCCGACCACACATTCTATAACATGGGCTACACACTATACCTTGTAGCAGGCTAGACTTAGGAGTGAGTGAGTGAGTGAGTTTAGTTTCAGCCGCACTCAGCAATATTCCAGCTATATGGCGGCGGTCTGTAAATAATCGAGTCTGGACCAGACAATCCAGTGATCAACAGCATGAGCATCGATCTGCGCAATTGGGAACCGATGACATGTGTCAACCAAGTCAGCGAAACTGACCACCCGATCCCGTTGGTCGCCTCTTACGACAAGATAGTCGCCTTTTTTATGGCAAGCACATGGGTTGCTGAAGACCTATTCTACCCCGGATCTTCACGGGTCCCTAGACTTAGGAAGGGTCATATGGATAGACAGTGATACCAGTGAGGTAGTCAGGAATAACATGGACTACACACTATACCTTGTAGCAGGCTAGACTTAGGAAGGGTCATATGGATAGACAGTGATACCAGTGTGTGAGTGGCATTACTGCAGTTATTATAAGTAGGCATCCACCATGTGCTTATATCTGGATTCACATTGATGACAGAATGTGCACAAATATATTTATTTACAAAACAAATCCAAAAGTGGCCAAGAACAGTCCTTAATTTCTAAAGGACAATCTAGACTTGCAAAATTATTCTAGACTCGAGTAGGATTAGTTATTCTCTAGGGAATGGAGAGATTAGATCCAAGGCTATAGACTACATAGCACATTCTGTGCAGGCCAGGAGATGGTGTGGAGGCTATACAGAACCCCTGCTGTAACAACCATTACCACTGCAACGCCTACAAGTCCACATTATCAATGTTTATTTATTGAAACATCAATGTCTCCTGAAGACATTTTGATTATCAAGTCTGAGTGAAACAGAAAATACATATCATTGCATGACATATACATTTCTACCTTCAACATTTTAAAGAAATCTTCCACATGAACGGTAATTCATCAACATGAAATCTGGGTTCATCTATTTCTGTGCCAGCCAATGAAGTAGGTCAGTATGAACCAAGCACTATCAGTTGCTACCTACATAATATCAGTACTTACATACATCTTATCACAAACTACAGGAAGTGATAATTAGGTACCTGGGGCTTTCATGATACTGGAAAATCAACAACATAAGTGAATCCTGGCAATTTCCACATACCCATCTTTTGATGTCTCTTCTCAATGTTTGGCTGTATATGTTTGTAATTAGGTTCTCTAGATGTCCATAAAATCAATTATATTATTTGCAGAACTGAATAATTATATAAATGTACCTGATGCATGTACATAATTGTAGTGAGAAAATAGGATGTACCTTAAAAGAAGAAAGACACTAAACTGATTTTAATGATCGACATAAATCACGTCAGACAGAAGGACTTATTGCAAGATATAATCTGGTACCTATAAGCATTGTTGGTACTACAATATAAATGTACTCAGGGTTGTCTCCCCATACAAATACTGACTGATACAATGTTAAAACTAAAGAAGTTAACAAAACCTTTAACAAACCATGTAATCATGTCAGATCCAAAGTTCTAATTTTGTATGTCAATACTTCATTGAAGTACAGAACCTATCCTAAATGGTGCTTTTCAGCCCTTGGCCTGTGTGGTGCAGTTCATGACTGGAGGAGCAAAGGAAAGCAGATCTCTCCTCCAGGTGTAAAAATATTCACAATGTGTTTCCCCTTGACTGTGTGTGAGTCAGTGACCAGTGAGACACATGGACTGAAGAGCCAGCAGATCAATGGTGGCTTCCTCAGACAACACAGCAACACTGTTCACAGCTGGAGAAATATTTCTCTATCTCTGGAAATCAAATCATGTCAGGAACATTTGATGCCATCTGCCCCATTGCTTCCCTTTCCAGAAGTCTGGGTGGAAACTGTTTCACTGTTACGGGGCTATATGTCAACACCTTTATCAACTAGCATTCATGCATGATGTTGTCCATGGCATAATGGTGCTGAGTGACGAAATACAATTATCTTGCTGCTGATGTGATACGAACACAACTTTTGCAATTCTGTTGAATGACCTGCCTTCTATTCCAACCAACTTGAAATACTCTGCAGTAGTCACAGTAGCTTTTTTAGTTTGAGTCCTTTAAACATTACATAGTCCATAAGCGCCATAAAAACAAATGTTTTGTCACAATCGCTGAAACAGTGCAGTCCTTCAGGTGTTCTGTGACAATCACTGAAACAGTCCATCAGGTGTTCTGTGACAATCACTGAAACAGTTCATCAGGTGTTCTGTGACAATCATTAAAACAGTCCACAGTCCATCAGGTATTCTGTGACAATCATTAAAACAGTCCACAGTCCATTAGGTGTTCTGTGACAATCACTGGAACAGTCCATCAGGTGTTCTGTGACAATCACTGAAACAGTTCATCAGGTGTTCTGTGACAATCATTAAAACAGTCCACAGTCCATCAGGTATTCTGTGACAATCATTAAAACAGTCCACAGTCCATCAGGTGTTCTGTGACAATCATTAAAACAGTCCACAGTCCATCAAGTGTTCTGTGACAATCATTAAAACAGTCCACAGTCCATCAGGTATTCTGTGACAATCACTGGAACAGTCCATCAGGTGTTCTGTGACAATCATTAAAACAGTCCACAGTCCATCAGGTGTTCTGTGACAATCATTAAAACAGTCCACAGTCCATCAGGTGTTCTGTGACAATCATTAAAACAGTCCACAGTCCATCAGGTGTTCTGTGACAATCATTAAAACAGTCCACAGTCCATCAGGTGTTCTGTGACAATCATTAAAACAGTCCACAGTCCATCAGGTATTCTGTGACAATCATTAAAACAGTCCACAGTCCATCAGGTGTTCTGTGACAATCATTAAAACAGTCCATCAGGTGTTCTGTGACAATCATTAAAACAGTCCACAGTCCATCAGGTGTTCTGTGACAATCACTGGAACAGTCCACGGTTCATCAGGTGTTCTATGACAATCACTGGAACAGTCCATCAGGTGTTCTGTGACAATCACTGAAACAGTTCATCAGGTGTTCTGTGACAATCACTGAAACAGTTCATCAGGTGTTCTGTCATCAGGTGTTCTGTGACAATCACTGAAACAGTCCACAGTCCGTCAGGTGTTCTGTGATCCCTGGCATACAAGGTAACATGAACCGTGTTGGTGTATAGAGACCCTTCAGATCTGTGAAATACCTCTTTCCACTTCTGTTTTGATGTAAAAGTCAACTAGGTGTACTGTATACTGCTCAGGAACATGATATGGCTGTGATAATGTTTAAATTAATACATGTTAAAGGTCAAAGACTGCTAAACAGCAAATACTGACAAATGAGATGTTTCATTTGAGATCCTGTGCACTGTGGTAGCATATACCATCCAGTCATTGTTTCTGTACGTAGAATGGTTAGTTACATACTATGAAACTGTGGTTGGCATACCAGATGTTTGCAGATCAAAAAGGTAATTACACAGAATCGTACAACGTAGTACATATAGCATGCAGACACACATTCTCTTTATTGAACCATAGAAAAGAGCATAAGTGAAGAATATTAATGCTCTGACATATTTCTGTTTCTGCCCAGCAACACTGCAAAATAAAAAAACACCGTATCCACTTCACAAAACTAAGACTGAGTGATCACAGACTAAAAATTGAACTGGGTAGGAGAACAAGACCACCTACCCCTTTGGAGGACCGTCTGTGTGATAAATGCTCTGTCCTTGAGGATGAACAACACCATTTCATGTGTTGCACTAAATATTCAGATGCAAGAAAGTCCTTATTTAACTCCCTTTCCTCTAAAATTAATAACTTTCTCAGACTTACTACCACTGAAAAATTTAACCTTCTTTTTAGAAATAATGATCCAAATACTATAGAAATTATTTGCTACCACATGTACAACTTTAAACAAATATAGAAGATCTGATTGTGCTAGGCCATTATTATTATTATACACATTTGTATTATTATATGTTTTGTTGCTCATCATATATATGTGATTCATTATATATCTTGTTTATGTAGTTTATAGAATATTGTCACTGTTTCTGTATGGAACGTTTGCACAATAAATATATTTGATTTGATTTGATTTGATATATTCTACAAGACTGGCCCTATTAAGGTGGAACTGAAGACAGCCGTCAACATATGACTTGATAACATACTATATGTAGAATTACACACATTAACAGGAATATTTTTCCAGTACCTGCATATCTCAGTGTCATACACATACTAGCTGAGTTGTTGACTGGAATGCCAGTATCAGCTGCCACGGGTCATTTGTTCCCCCCCTGGAAGACTACCTACCATGTGCTTGTCTCACACTTCTCTCACCCACTGCTGGAAACAGCTTCCCAGTAAGTTAACCCTCATTACATATTATAGAGCTTGGCCGGTTGTGAAACTGTTGAGATTTAACCAGGAATGAGATAATTTGATAAAGCCATTCCTGATCTGCATGGATACAATGCTGAGATACCGTTTACTCTCTAGTAGGTTCTCTCTCCACATGGTCTACACACCACAACGACCAACAATGCACACATCTGAGTAGAGATACAGACCAAGGATTTTCATAAAATGACTCATTTCAAGTTTTTTTGTAAAATACCTTGGTTACAGATTTATTATTGCATTTTCAGTTCCGTGTGAATCTTCTTTATCTATTATTGTTCTGAGTGAGTCTTTATCCATAGATTTGGTGACTTATTTAAAAGCACCCTGTCCCCTCTCTGTTTTTGTCCCCAATGCCATCTGACCGATGCCAAGGCTCCAGGAAGACTCACAACAAGCTCCATGTGTCTCTGGAAGCTACATACAACACACATCAACCCCAGGTCAAGGGATGAGGTAAATATTTATATGAAAACATTGCCCAACTGGTTGCAGTATTTTAAAGTCTGCAAAAAAACTGAGTAGATAAAATGCCTTTTGAGAGAAGACTATAGTTTCAGAAACTTTCGTAAAACTGATGATCTGTACTCATGTTGTCAGAACCATGTCTCATTCATGCATCCTGTAACCCCTGTGTATATATCAAGTAGCAGAAGTTGATATCCAACTATGTGAAACCAACAAGCAAAGTGGTTCTTTGTTTCAATGCCACATCCATTGTATACAGTTGAGAGGAGGGCATTGTTAGAGATTCCTCACCATGTGCTTGAAGGTCTCCAATACTGTTGACACTACTGTAACGCACATGCTAAGTATGACTTCTATGCTTTTAACTTATAAAGTTATACTGGCATTGCCTAGCTCACTGATGACACATTTACTGTGGATATTTTCTAGACTAACAACTAGTCCCTGAAATGAACATATTTCACAGAAAAAAGTTCATAGTAAAAAAAAAATATAATGAAAAGGAGCCCTGAGACTTTCTTCATGTTCAGAGACCCTGAAGCTGTGGAAATCTAGACTTGCCACATTTTCTAGACTTGTGTGGGCTTTTCATGGATAAACAATTACAACATATAAGAATGTTTTAAGGTATACAGTGATCATTCATTGTAAATTGTGATGTTTTAAAGAATGAAAAGTATTGGAGCTTTAAGAAACCTTCTTAATCAATGGTAAAGAAAGGAATGTATTTGCCCTCACACAAAAACACACACATTTCATTCAAGACTTAATACAGATAAAGATTGCTAAAAACAATTCATTAGTTAGGCTAGAGAAACCTATTGCTTTGTTTTACCGACCAGTGCACCTAGAGGAATGGGAGAAAGGGGACACAATATATAAATAATATTGCCCAGATTGATATTGGCTAATGTCATCATTGTCTGGAAAAGTTCAACAAAAGCACACTTAAAAGATGTTAAAACAACATTAAACAGCATCTTTTTAAAAATTTCTATCACTTGCCATTCTGGGTAGACACACTCATCTAAGAAGAAGAAGAAGAAGAAGAAGATTTAATTATAATATACCTAAGTGGACTCAAATATTTCAATACATTTTAACAGGGCCCTTTATCTTGTCTACACACTGTTTGAGTTGTACACCTGATCAGAAAGTGCTTTCCAAACACATCAGTCACTGGTCAGCTTGGGTCTGGAAGGCTCTCTCTCTCCAGGCCAGTAATGAGAGTGGCAGTGTTTACAGGTACATATAAACAACTGTTTCTCCATGACCACCCACTGACAGGAAGCACTGTTTATCCAATCATACACTTAAGTGATCATATCACCCATCAGCTGACCAATCAAAACTCTATGTACATCAGAAGTGAGGGTGGGTATATTCACATCCTTCCATACAGTGGTTCTAGTTGTTGTTATGTGTACAGGGCTTCCTGCTGAGGTGACTGATCTGTACAATGGGAGCCGTGCTAATTCCAAGCCCATAATAATTTGTACACCCTCAGAGTTGATGCAGTACATATGATCAGCTTGTTGGTAACTGTTACTGCTATAATGTGTGCTTACCCTTGGAGGTACCTCAATTTGGCTATGTTGGGATATGCTATTCACAATGGCTAGTTACAAAAAAATGTCAATGCCTTCTACAAGTGATCTAATATGAAAACACTACACTGTCATACATAAAGGTGCCCAACATAAGGGCTTCCACCAGATGGCTATGTCCAGAACATGAATTGTCTACAGTGATGACATTCTTCTCTCATATCTATGTAGGGTCACATGGACTATCATTTAACTCTCTACACACAGTCAGACACTTATGTAAATAGCAAACCTGTTTACTGTTATCTTAGACAAGAACCAGCCCACAAAAAGTCCCATGACAACACTTGCTGTTATTCAACCTTGTCATATCACCAACAAATGGTCATCACACTTACATACACTGTAGACAGGAAGACCCTATGACTCTTACTAGAAAGCTGTCTGATGGGGGTTACATCATTGGAGGCCTCAGTAAAGTTTTCAATTAACAGCATGTGCCTTCTAAAGCAGAATGTCTGTCTGTTTATTGAGAATTTAATGGTCTATTTGAATTAGAAAACAGCCTAGATTTAGATACCTGGTCAGTTGCTGACATGATAATGGTGGCCCTGACCTTGTAATCCACTGTGACAAGTCTGTTTAACTAGCCTGGATAAAATTGTTGAATGTTAGATTTCAGAGCTTCAAATTTGCTTCTGTATACATGAATTACTTGAGCATCAGCACTGACATATATTGCCTGCGGTTTATTGGCGGAAGCGTGGTTCACTGCACCTACTTCTCTCCTCTGCCACTGCCGCGTTCACAGCTGCACCTGTACACATCTGCATCCAACTAGGTTAATTACAGCCTCATGAGTATGATGTAAACCACTAGAAACAAATTAACCTCATCTGCCAATGTGCTGAGATTAGGGCAACATCCTTTCCATGGGTGAAGTCACAGAAAAACATCTCCTGAAGCATCTGTCATCAGTGTTTACACTCCATAGGTGTGAACACCAGATGTCAAGAAGCATTGTGGTACAGAATATTGCTTCTTTTTACATGTCATTTCCAGAATGTAGTAAAGTAGGTCATGACAAAGCAATAATGAGTCAATCTGACCGCATTATGTAGTAATACATGCTTAGTAAATCAAAGTCCATGACATGCGTTGACTCACCTGGATGATGTCCTCCAGACTCTTTACATAGGTCCTCTCAGTGTCCACAATCTCGGCCACAACCCTCTGGACATAGGTTACGTACAGAGATCCCTTGTTGCTATCAGGTGAACCAGTATCCTTGGCTCCACTAGGGGACTTGGGTGAGGCTGGAGATGACCTGGATCTGCCTGAAGTGGAGCTGCTCAACTGGGCCCCTAAAGTAGAAGGTGGGGATTTGGTCCGAGTTTGTCTTGAGTAATTTCCAGCACAATTCTCAGACATAGAACTGGGCACCTTCCTATCACCAGAGTCTGACCTGACTGGACTTTCAGATGGACTACTGCTGGTAGCTGACAAGGTGAGTTTCTCTGGTGAAGAATCAGGACTCATGGATGGTAGAGGGGCTGACACAGAAGGGGAAAGGGGGCCTGTCACAGGGGAAGTACAGCGGCTCAGTTCCAGTTTGTCCACCACTGCCGTCTTGATGCTGTAGTTGGTACCACTGGCACCACACCTGTTGACGGCGTCTGGAGATGGAGTCTCATCAATGCCATCCATCTTTTCAACATTTTGTACACTGGATGTATTATAATCCATCCTGGAATCTTGGCAATTTCCATTTATATCTTCATTTTTGGAATTATCCACATTACTTGATGAAAGTAAATGTTCATATTCTGCAAGGTTTGGTCGTTTGTGTTGAGGACGTGACAGTGAGGAAGAGGAAGCAGAAGAAGAAGAGCTTATACTTAGTGGCCTTTTCTTCCCAGTATCCCCATCAAGCACATCCTCTTTCCTGACTTTAATGTCAGTCATTTTGGATCCTGAGTCAGTGATTTTAGGGTCACTATCTGTTCTAACCACAGCCCCTCTGCTGTACCTCACTGTAGCAGAGGCAGGCAGAGACTTGGACTTGGACTTGACATCTGGATGGTCCACAGGAATCTGGTCTGTGCCTCCATTGGCAGCTGCTTTGGTGTCATAGATATTCAGAAGTGTTGGTGCCAAATCCAAAGATGATCCTGCAAGGTAACAAGAACTCTTTATTAGAAAAATGCATAAAACACAGGTTTGAGTAATGAATTTAGCTACATAGGGTGCTTTTTTGGTAAAAATATATTCAATAACAAGAAACTTGTTACATGATAAATATCAATTAATTTTTCACCAAATGTTTTTCTCTTATTCCATAAATAATTATTTGCAACATTCAGAGACACCTCTACACTCTTGTATTTGAGTCTGACCTGTGTACTGAACATCAACACGAAGTGACACCAAGAACACCCAACTGTGATGAAAGACATAATTGAGATATCTGTGCTGCTCAGATGCCTTGATGAAAAGTAACCCCAAGATGAAAAGCCAATCCTGTCTGAAGCCTTAACTTTGTTCTAAAAACAAGCCAGCAAATTGACTTAGATGAGTTATGGGATCCATAGTAACATACATGAAAGTCAAGTACACATCATACCGCTGAACTTTGATATGACTTAATGAAGATACTTTTTTACCAAGCAGGGTATTTATAACTGCCAGTGCACTAGGATAGAGGCAGTGGAGACCGCAACACTGATACATTCCCTGACTGGTAACTAATCCCTCAACACTATCCTGTGTCAGTACAAATGTCTGTATACATAATGCATCTCATGTAGTAATCCTCACCTGTCTTGTTTCAGTACACACCTTCGGATACTTCAACTAACATACACTGAGCGATGAATGTCCTTTACTTACATACTCACGTACTCAGGACATTCTTTCATGTAAACCATCTAAGTATGCAAATGAGAACTGAAATATTTTATTCTCATTAGTCAGAGATCTACAACTTCAGAGAGATTTGTGCCCCTAAACAACCTTGACGGTATTTGGCCTGTTGTTGGGACTTGGTCTCTACAGCGGTGGGGCACTGACCTGTTGCCTCCTGAACGAACATAGGTATCAGAAGGCTTCATGTCCAGGCATATGGGTGCAACGGTAGTAGTGTGTCATGTTCAAATGTTGATAGTAGATACACACACTTTACTTATGTATTATAAAACCAGATAACTATATACTGTTCAGTCAGTTTTCAGTGGTGTCACCCATCCAGTAACTATCAACACTATGTCATGACCACTAAATCTGTATCTTAGGACTATCATTTTATCTTTTAGTTTTAGGTGTGTTCTTACATCAATGAATTATATTCAGTTGTATGTTTAATCCACATAAGGTGTAGCAGAAGCCACATTCTGGTCAGGCAACATTGAACTTGGTACAATGGGGTTCCATGTATACACGCAGAAGCCACATTCTGGTCAGGCAACATTGAACTTGGTACAATGGGGTTCCATGTATACATGCAGAAGCCACATTCTGGTCAGGCAACATTGAACTTGGTACAATGGTGTTCCATGTAAACGTGCAGAAGAGAAGGAAGCGGGTGTAAGATTTATAATGTAATGAGGCAAATCATGATTCCCTGAAACTGTATCCTATCCTTCCCGTCTCTGTATCAGACAACAACACTTATCATGTCAGGAGGTCATAGCAACATCAGTATTGAAAAATACTTGCCACCATGAGAGACTCTACTCTTATCACACCATCCCTCCATGAAGGTGTACAGGGCATGAAGCTGTTTCCCCCATAAATCAGCTTGTCTAATGTCCTCCATGGAGGATTCTACTTTACATAATGCAAAAGTAATGAATCCCTGATCATTTCAAACTTCTACCTGATAGTACCTTTTGTTTTACTTTAATTCTAACCATACACAAAAAAGATCTTAACATTAATTTTATTTCATTTTTCTTGTTAAAATTAACATCAGGTGAGTTCTTACTCATATTTTGATGTTTCATTATGTCTTAGCATCGTATGAGAAAATTGTTTTCATTATGTTGATAAAACTGCAGCAATCATGTGTGAGTTAAGCTGAGACTGAGTATGTGCTTTTTTCATTTTTTATCTCACCCTGACCTTGAAGGTCATCACAGCACTGGGGCCCTGAATACAGGTCATCAGAGGGAAATAACACATATGTGCAAAGGTCAGAGTTCATGTATCTTAACAAACTGAAGGTCAGCAAAGTAATTGTCACCTCTGGGGCTGCGTGACATGAGTATCAGACCATCCCTGGAAAGCTGGCAGTATGGCCCCCACCCATGTCGGCAGAGGTGCGGCACACACAGAGAACATTACCCAGATAACCAAACCTTGTAGTCATGGTGATGAATGTCCCACACACTGATAGAAGGCCCTTAACACTTCCCAGGTACATCTGACCACTGGCCAGTTTCCATCACACTCACCACCTACCCCCAACCATTTTCATGACAACTACATGTGCAGATATAGCCAAAGATAAACAATATTGCAGTGGGCATGATTTTAACGGGTAGAGTACACGTTATCATAAACTGTACATTTAATATAATAGTTAATATCTGTAACAACAAGAGCTGCATTTCTTCATCAACCATCAGCCTTAATCTCTATTGTCGTTTCCAAAGGTGTATGTAAAGACAATAGACTGTATGTTTCTCCCTCCTAGAGGCTGGTATGTGGGATGCCAGACGCAGCCTACTCCATCTGTCAGTGCTCCCCACATCTGATTCATGCAGTATGTATGGGGATGTGTGTCAGGCAGTATTACTGAATGGTTTTTGTTGTACGGCCAGATGGCAGGTTGAGGAATGTCTGGATATCATGTTCAGTCTACGGTAACATTGGCTCAATCTCCCTAGCCATCAGACACATATATGTACTGTATACACGGCCATGGGGTTCATATATCACTAATGATCGAGATCACTGCCTTGAAGCCAAACAGTTGATACTATAGATATGATCTTCTTCAATAAGAGCCACTCACTACACTGAACCAATATTTATACATTTTTATGTTAGGCTTGGAATATATTTTAAAGCTCTTTTACTACCGATACCTCAAATAATTTCTTTGGATGGAAACATCAAATAATTTCTTTGAATGGAAACATCAGTCAAATTCAAAAGATCAGGACTCCATGACTAAAAAGTGAGCAAAGGATGTGACTTAACACCCACAGCAGCCAGACGAGATTGTATGCTGATGTACTAATAGCATTAAAACATCCATCCATGGCAAGCAGCATGGCCTGGGAGAGTCTGTGTGTTGTTGCAGCATGGCCCGGGAGGGTCTATGTGTTGTTGCAGCATGGCCCGGGAGGGTCTATGTGTTGTTGCAGCATGGCCCGGGAGGGTCTATGTGTTGTTGCAGCATGGCCCGGGAGGGTCTATGTGTTGTTGCAGCATGGCCCGGGAGGGTCTATGTGTTGTTGCAGCATGGCCAGCATGGGGAGGTCTGTCTGACCTGGGAGAGTGTGTTGTTGCAGCATGGCCCGGGAGGGTCTATGTGTTGTTGCAGCATGGCCTGGGAGAGTCTATGTGTTGTTGCAGCATGGCCTGGGAGAGTCTGTGTGTTGTTGCAGCATGACCTGGGAGAGTCTGTGTGTTGTTGCAGCATGGCCTGGGAGAGTCTGTGTGTTGTTGCAGCATGGCCTGGGAGAGTCTGTGTGTTGTTGCAGCATGACCTGGGAGAGTGCAGCATGGCCTGGGAGAGTCTGTGTGTTGTTGCAGAGTCTGTGTGTTGTTGCAGCATGACCTGGGAGAGTCTGTGTGTGTGTTGCAGCATGTGGGAGAGTCTGTGTGTTGCAGCATGGCCTGGGAGAGTCTGGGTTGTTGCAGCATGTGGGAGAGTCTGTGTGTTGTTGCAGCTTGACCTGGGAGGGTGGCCTGGGAGAGTCTGTGTGTTGTTGCAGCATGACCTGGGAGAGTCTGTGTGTTGTTGCAGCATGATCTGGGAGAGTCTGTGTGTTGTTGCAGCATGACCTGGGAGAGTCTGTGTGTTGTTGTTGTTGCAGCATGACCTGGGAGGAGTCTGTGTGTCTGTGTTGTTGCAGCATGATCTGGGAGGGTCTGTGTGTTGTTGCAGCATGACCTGGGAGAGTCTGTGTGTTGTTGCAGCATGACCTGGGAGAGTCTGTGTGTTGTTGCAGCATGACCTGGGAGAGTCTGTGTGTTGTTGCAGCATGGCCTGGGAGAGTCTGTGTGTTGTTGCAGCATGACCTGGGAGGGTCTGTGTGTTGTTGCAGCATGACCTGGGAGAGTCTGTGTGTTGTTGCAGCATGACCTGGGAGAGTCTGTGTGTTGTTGCAGCATGACCTGGGAGAGTCTGTGTGTTGTTGCAGCATGATCTGGGAGGGTATGTGTGTTGTTGCAGCATGACCTGGGAGAGTCTGTGTGTTGTTGCAGCATGATCTGGGAGGGTATGTGTGTTGTTGCAGCATGACCTGGGAGAGTCTGTGTGTTGTTGCAGCATGACCTGGGAGAGGCTGTGTGTTGTTGCAGCATGACCTGGGAGAGGCTGTGTGTTGTTGCAGCATGGCCTGTCTATGTCTGCATGATTCATATTGCTGCATCGTGAGTCCCAGTCAGTTAGCACTTGCATCATCATGGATATGTCATAGAGTTGCAGGCAAGGAAAGGGCATCCACATTCCAACTTGGGAGTGAATCAAATTGAAAAATAGGGGTAATAACGTGGACTATTTTTAAAATAACTCAGATTTCATTAGCTTGTTGATCGGGTTATGTTCAGAGGCAAGGGCAAATCTAGCTGCCTGAAATATGACAGGAAATATGATAATGAACATTTGTTACACCCAATAAAACACCCAAACAAACACAGTTTGTATGGATACTAATGAACAGAAATGACAGTTAATGTTCTCCTGAAACAAAAGATCTCATAACCCACTGGTACAGTGACAGGCATAACATACTCTCTCTAGAAGCAGTGTCATGTGCAAGAACCACATCACACACATTCAATTTAAATGAAGTTCTTTGTTTCTCTCAAACTAAATATTTAGAGAAACAAAGCATTATTCTACTTGCTTGCTGGCACCTGCAGACAGGAGTCCACAGGGACCTCGTCCACGAACAGAATCCTGCCTAAAGGATCTCATTAGGACACACAGTTTAAATTTTCTAGTTTTGTGAACAAATCAGGTTTGTCAGACAAAATTTTTCTAGTTTTGTCAACAAATCAGGTTTGTCAGACAAAAAATACTTTCTCTAGTGCAACATTTTGAAAAGATATTTGCTATAAAGATGCTTGTTTTCAGTATCCTTCTGTCAAGAAATAAATACTCATACTGTTTAAAGTACAGGATGTAAGTAGTTTGAATGTAATATGTATTATTGCTTTTACAATTTCTACTGCTTTCTACTGTTTTGTTACATGCTTTTAAACTTTTTTTGCAATCCATCAAAGATTGTGGGGCAAATAAAATAATTACATCAATGTAAACTATTTTGTCTTTGTTGTAGCTATAGATGCTGAATAGTGTAGCTATAGATGCTGAATAGTGTAGCTATAGATGCTGAATAGTGTAGCCATAGATGCTGAATAATAACTCCTAAACGTCCTAAATGCAAAGAATCCTACAGTTAAATACAAAACTATGATGAATTCTGACACTCGTCAACTAGTTCTAAGTGTGACTGATTACTCTGATATGTACTGGAATGTATGGAATGGGAGGTGTACATAAGACAAGTGATCTATGCTCCATATATTTGTTAGCAGCTTGTAAGCAAAATGCATGCAAATGTGACATCAACAAGATGTCAGAACATTAAAGCCTTCATTGAGTTTTTAAGAAAATATGTAATAAATGAAGAAATCTGCACACATTAACCTCTATACACGAATGTAAATGGATGCAGCACATGCGGCCAAATGATATCATGCAATCTGATTGTTCAACACAGAGGAAATTCAGTCTCTTGTGTCAAATAGTAGGGAAACACTGTAAATGTCAGAGTTGAAACAAGGTGTCCATGGCCTGTGGCACAGTAAGACACAGCCCATCTGGGTGGTGCCTAATATGGTACATCACATGTAACCTGTTGGCAGAAAGGTCAAAGAGGCTACAGAGTCTAACTGAAACTGTGATCATGTTGATATAGCCATGATTGCATCTTCAACTTAAAACATATGCTTCAGCTATATATTCCAGCTATATGGCAAAATACATGACTGAATCTGGACCAGACAATCCAGTGACCAATATTGTGAGCAATGATCCATGTTGGAATACAAAGAAACACAATCAACAAAGTCACCATGCCTGATCACCACATTCATTAAGTCTTTGAAGCAGCACACATTCCTGGGCACATTAACTAATCTGGGTTTTGAATTGTGGTACCACTAAATGGCATTTCCATAAACAGGATTAACCACTGGCCAGTGGATGCAGTAGGTACTTAACTGGCCTTGACTGGATAGTAGGATGCCAGTGGATGCCACCACTGGCCCTGGCTGTATACAGCTGGATGCCGGTAGATGCCACCACTGGCCTTGACTGTATGCAGCTGGATGCCAGTAGGTGCTTAAATGGCCTTGACTGTATACAGCTGGATGCCGGTAGATGCCACCACTGGCCTTGACTGTATGCAGCTGGATGCCAGTAGGTGCTTAAATGGCCTTGACTGTATACAGCTGGATGCCGGTAGATGCCACCACTGGCCCTGCCTGTATACAGCTGGATGCCGGTAGATGCCACCACTGGCCTTGACTGTATACAGCTGGATGCCGGTAGATGCCACCACTGGCCCTGCCTGTATACAGCTAGAAGCCGGTAGATGCCACCACTGGCCTTGACTGTATCCAGCTGGATGCCAGTTGGTGCTTAACTGGCCTTGACTGTATAGTAGGATGCCACCACTGGCCCTGCCTGTATACAGCTGGATGCCGGTAGATGCCACCACTGGCCTTGACTGTATACAGCTGGATGCCGGTAGATGCCACCAATCGCCTTGACTGTATACAGCTAGATGCCGGTAGATGCCACCACTGGCCTTGACTGTATAGTAGGATGCCGGTAGATGCCACAACTGGCCCTGACTGTATACAGCTAGATGCCGGTAGATGCCACCACTGGCCTTGACTGTATACAGCTAGATGCCGGTAGATGCCACAACTAGCCTTGACTGTATACAGCTGGATGCTGGTAGAAGCCACAACTAGCCTTGACTGTACACAGCTAGATGCCGGTAGATGCCACCACTGGCCTTGACTGTATACAGCTAGATGCCGGTAGATGCCACCACTGGCCTTGACTGTATACAGCTAGATGCCGGTAGATGCCACAACTGGCCTTGACTGTGTGCAGCTGGATGCTGGTAGAAGCCACAACTAGCCTTGACTGTATAGTAGGATGCCGGTAGAAGCCACAACTGGCCTTGACTGTATACAGCTAGATGCCGGTAGAAGCCACAACTGGCCTTGACTGTATACAGCTAGATGCCGGTAGATGCCACAACTAGCCTTGACTGTATACAGCTAGATGCCGGTAGAAGCCACAACTGGCCTTGACTGTGTGCAGCTGGATGCTGGTAGAAGCCACAACTAGCCTTGACTGTACACAACAGAATTTTACACTGGAATAACACCAGCTTGTGAACAACATTATGGAATTTGTTTATCTTGCACGTGATCAGTGTTGAGTAACTGGAAGTCGAATTCCTTCATTTGTACTGTGGCCTATAGTCCCTGTACCCGTTCTCAAATAGGGTTATCATCGGGGGGAAAGAAGCTTAATCATATCTTGGCTGGTTATTAATTCAAAGCAACCCAAATGTTTATGAAATACATCCTAATTACACAATGCCAACTATCAGTTTGACCCCACTGCATTCCACACATTATAAAGCATGTATTGTTTGTCCTTAAGTTCAAGATCTTATGATCTGCCATCTAGCAAGCACAGCTTCCCATATGTAATACCATCTAGCCGAGTCTGTCTTCTTAAACATAACAGTCTAGAATGATTTGGCAAGTCTAGTCTTCCCCAGCTCTAAGCAGAAATTAAGCATCATTCCAGGCCCCAATTTTTATAATATTTTATAATTATATAGATATATATTTTTAAATAATAAAACTTAACTGCAGTCACTGAAGCTTAGCCTACTTCTTAGTCTACATTGGCATGTATCGGACATGTTGAGAAGGGAAATCAAATGTAACATTTTGACTGTAATTAGACTAATACTTAATATAATGTATATAATTTGACAGAAACCAATACCACCACAGAAGTTGAAAAGATGCCCTTTTGTGATAAAGGATTCAGATCGTGAACTCTGCGGAAAATTTAGAATTGCTTCATTTGGAGTCTGTTTTGCATTAAGAAATTGCTGGTCCAAAGGTAAAATAGTTGAGGGATCTGTAAGACAGACAAGGCTGTGATGTTTCTTGTATTAATTCTAATGATTAAGTGTGCAGGTCCTATATTCATCTGCTTCCACACAAATGCTCTGTATTCATACAGGCTGATAGCTTGTCTAGTTCACAATGAATACACAGCACATGATACAATCACACTGTAAATGACAGCCAACCAAGATAAACAAACTTTTAAACGTGAAATCAACAAGAACAAAAACATGGAATCTATTACAAGCTTTACAATTACCAAGGGTGTTTGAAAAAAAAACTTCACTGCATTAAACCCCAACAAAAGAGCACATGTTCCTCAAAGATTGTTCAGTCAACTGAGTCAGTGTTTGACCCTACTACATTTCTGCGACAATACGATGCCTATGTAAGCCTTGAGTGACACATAAGTGGTGTTGGCAATGCAGGTGCAGTTTGGGATTGATGGAGAGCTGTAATCTCCTGTATAACAAGCAGCTTAATAATCACTACCTCCTTCAGTGTCAAAGGAATAACTAGCATAGGAAAACCATGATACATTTACTTAAAATGTTACAAAGAATCAACAAAAATCCCCTGCTATCTGAGGCAGAATCCTTGTGGCACTGTGGATTCTTGTGGATTTAACTCTCACTACATTTGAAAACGTAATCAACATAATAACTTAGAACACTACGCCTGGTTTTGCAAGTTTAAAACTGGTATGTGAATGAAACCTGGTCATGGAGAGTGCTTGTGTCATCAGCATGATGTCCTGAATCCAGCGTACACCCTCTAGGTGTGAAACAACAGCATATACAGACAGGTAGGACTGTACAGTGAGTACTGCCACTGCTGACATCCAGTACACTGTGTACCTCATCAGTGGTATTGGGCAACACTTCATTAACCGTCTCCTTAGTTAGCATTTGGTTTGGTTAGTAACTACAGAATACATGTTACAACTACAATGTATAATAATTGTCCACTACACAAAACACCTTGTGTATGAAAAAAAAGAGGAAATAGAAAAAGCCTACCGAAAAACTCATCCCAGCAAAGAGAGTTACGATCAGTCGCCTGTAGATGACTGAGTCGCATGAGTAGTTTCTTACGATCCCTTCTCAGGCCAGCGTCATGAATATTATGATCCTCATCTGAACTATCGGTGCAGTTCTCCAACTCCAGGTAATCTCCTCGCTTTACTTTCCACGCCATCACATTAGACATTTGTCCCAAGTCCATTACCACCATATATAGGGAGATATCAACTTCATTCTTCTCATCATTTGTCTAATGTGTGCAAATCAACCAAAACTTAGCTTGTGATTTACAAGGAAAGTAACACAGTTATATCCATGAGGTATTGAAAGTTTGATTTCCTGAATAAGATTCATTCTCTGTAAAACACAATCTGTTTCATTTACCATACAAACAGTGAATATGGAGAGCAGCGTTGACTGTATCCCACCATGTCCTCCTCTACAGTCTGTATCACAGTGAGGCACACATGTGTTTGTAGTGGACTATGTGAGACAGTCCAGCCAGGCTACCTGCCTGCACCAAGCCCACACCCACATGGGCCATGGGTGATCCAACTGAAGAGGGTAATAAGGACTACTCCACCACGGTAACAATCAGGGGGACTGCTCACAAACCATAGAAGATGCAAGTATCCTGGGGCAATACTGCCGCACACGACCAATACCTTGTTAACAGCATAGCCATAGGGTAGAACACAAGCCTGGCTCTAGTCAAGTCGTGTCCCACAATAACTTATACATAGATTTACCTCTCTCCCCCTCAGGGGATCGATGAATGGGGAGCTTTGTCTCACAGATCTCACAGATTTGTGCTAAATAGAATTGGGACAAAATGTCAAAGAGATAAGATATCCTGTGAGGGATGGAATGATCCCTGACAAACTGATCCTCCTGGCTGATGGGGATAGTCTGTAGTTGGAACCTATTTACCGACTTGTCTGGCACTGACAGGCTGAAACATGGAGCAAGTCTGCAACCTCACCAAAGTTCACTATGCCAGGTATGACAGGGGATAACACTGAAGTCTGGAAAGTCTGATAACTGATCTCCTTAATTAAGGGTCCGCAAATGTTTGGCCTGTGACCTGCTGGTGGGAGGACAGGCAGGGTAGTGTACTTCACCAGTAGAAACAATAGTCAGATTGTTCTCACACAAGTTCCATGAAACCTAAGTATCGTCCCCGCTGCAGGAGGAAACTGTTGTTGTTGTAAGCTGTCTTGTATTGAATCAATGTAGTATAATGAAATCTTATCTCAGGTATGATTCAACTGAAAGAACCTTGCCAGGGTCCTGCTTGGGCTGACGCCTGCACAACACTGACACACAGGGCTGGGTGGCAAATCCCATGTGTGTATGTATGTTCTAAACTCAACACATATTGTATTGTCCTGGTGATCTTCTTCTGGGGGCAGATAGGTTTATACTGAAACCCCTTTATAGGAAAGGATATTCCATTATGATAATTAGCAGAGCAACTATAAATCAGCACACGGTGTGAGTGAAGTCCTGTGGAAGCACAGTAAAACAAACTGGATGTCAGTAGCAGGTACTAGATTCCAGCAATCCAGAGCCAATGAATATATCACTCACAAGTTATATTTGGTCTTGGAATTTACTGGCTTTGGCTGTTGGCGAGTTCCAGGACACAGCCTGCATGGCCAGTGATCACTGTATATACAAGTAGATGATCATTACTGGAGTTTTCCCCATGTCAGCGTGGGCTTCGTGTAAGTATGAGAGCAGGACTGCTGCACATGGCTGGCTCAGACTGAGGTGAGTAGTTCACGCCACTGTAAAAATACTACTCAGGTCCGACTGGCCTAGTCCAACAATTCAAGGTAGTAAAAAAAGTTCATCGGAGCAAAAGAATAGTACACGGGTAAAGAACATTAGAACTTGTATTCTGATTGCTGATAAAGTTAAAAGAAAACATAAGGTTTAGCCAGCCCCTTACGTGACCCTTAGCATACTCATGATCATCGATCCTCCATAAAAATCATGCAGACCTCAAAAACATTTGACTGAAATGTATAGCAACAAGATCCTTTGCTTGTTTGGAGATGTTATTGTTGAGATTTGTTTGTGAAACATTCCTGTAGCACGTATCCCAGTCTCTAACAGTGAGCAGATAGCAAGTTGGGGAAGTGTAATCTTCTGCTTCACAGGACTTGGTTTGTGAGATTTGGCCAGGGCATATGCTGTGCATGTGTCTTGACGAGGACAGGGACTGGGCTTGAAGTATGGTAATCCTTTCTCACAGAAGCATTTCTCCCTCAGTGGGTCTGCATCACAAACACCTCTGCAACAAGGCTCACTACAGCTGGTTAACTGTGCCTCTACCACACTGTGCAGCTAAACACAACTTTGATTAACTCTTCCAAATTCCACATAAGTTTGGCCCAATCACCGGCACCTTCTTCACTTAAATATCAGTCAAGCATGTAGAAATAATGTTGGCCAAGGATTAAAGGGATCTAAAGTTGTCTTACTGAGGCATGTTGAATGTATAGTTCCCACACTATCATTTCAATTTTTCCACTGAATTTGTCTGACCGTCACAATCCCTGACTGTTTTCAAATAAACTCAAGATTTGTAGATGCCTGCTTCCAATATTCCACCATCACAAGCAAAATCACATAGTTGATTGCAAGATAGGAAACAGGAAAATATGTTTCCAAATCTAAACACTTCTATATTTCCTCCTTCTTTCCATCTACTTTATACGTTGCCGCCTGCATCCCTGACATCCCTTTAGCCTCACTCCCTGGATGTGTTGATACACTGATTATTCTTATTATCCTCTATCCTTCCCTCAGCACACAGCAGCCAATCACAGCTGTGAGCAGAGACAACTTACGATCCTCCCTTGAATCATTGACAATAGACGTCTACATACGCGGGGGCGTAACACCAACTAAGCTCTCCATGTCATCAGGTATTCACCTACATTAACTTCAATGTCCAAATCTACCCCCAGATGAATTAATCTGGTAACAGAAGACATTTGGCCATTTTCTAAACTGGAGAAGAATTCCATTAACGTGCCTCATAAAATGTGAGGACAACATTGTGTTGTGTAGCCAGGTGTGATTGAGACAGAGATACTACATCACCGCTTGGGTCTGCAGTAAGGCCCACTTCACTGGGTGATGAGTGGTGAAGTGTGTGTGTGTGTGTGTGTGTGTGTGCGTGCATGCGTGCATGTGCATGCATGCATTTGTGTTTGTTTGTTTGTGTGTGTGTTTACATGGGACACTGAGAGAGGCACTACAACAAAAACTGATTATTTCAAGACAGTGTAACATAACAAATATCCAACAAAGAGGATAAATCTCCGTACTGTTCAATAAGGTATCACATGTGTATGTGTCAAAGTAGATAGATTACTCAAGTAGATTAAGATGGATCTGTAGGCCCTTGCCCCACCCCAGGGATTGACACAAGTGGGATCTATACAGTGTCACTTTCCAGGGGTCCCTGTAAGTTTATGATCCTCGTAAATATATGCAATAAATTCACACTCCCTGAGTCCACTCTGACTGGCCATCTCTAAGTGTTATGCAACTGTCTCAACATATATACAAGCCTGTGGGCAGAGTACTAGCAACTTCCTAGCAGAACACCAGATCTTACCACATCAAAGAGATGCAGTCCTTTACAGAATCACTCAAACCAACCCTTAGATTACTGAGTCTATTAAAGTGGCAAATATATCCATTTCCTTCAACTGTTTCTAATAATTTATTTTTTCCTCAATGGAATATATGAAACGTATTCATACCCACAACAAAGGGTTCAATGGAAACTGAAGTAGCTAAATTTGTTCCCACCACAAATTCTTCACATGTTCAGATTTAAATCTTAATACAGGCTCCATTGTATTCTGGAATGTTTTTTCCACCAACATAATGGTGATCTGCTGAAGGGAAACACATCCACTACAGTATGTGGGTTTTCTCCTGACAACTACAGCTGAACACATCCACTACAGTATGTGGGTTTTCTCCTGTCAACTACAGCTGAACACATCCACTACAGTATGTGGGTTTTCTCCTGTCAACTACAGCTGAACACATCCACTACAGTATGTGGGTTTTCTCCTGTCAACTACAGCTGAACACATCCACAACAGTATGTGGGTTTTCTCCTGTCAACTACAGCTGAACACATCCACTACAGTATGTGGGTTTTCTCCTGTCAACTACAGCTGAACACATCCACAACAGTATGTGGGTTTTCTCCTACAGCTGTCAACTACAGCTGAACACATCCACTACAGTATGTGGGTTTTCTCCTGACAACTACAGCTGAACACATCCACTACAGTATGTGGGTTTTCTCCTGACAACTACAGCTGAACACATCCACTACAGTATGTGGGTTTTCTCCTGACAACTACAGCTGAACACATCCACTACAGTATGTGGGTTTTCCTCCTGTCAACTACAGCTGAACACATCCACCACAACAGTATGTGGGTTTTCTCCTGTCAACTACAGCTGAACACATCCACTACAGTATGTGGGTTTTCTCCTGTCAATCCACAGCTGTCAACTACAGCTGAACACATCCACTACAGTATGTGGGTTTTCTCCTGTCAACTACAGCTGAACACATCCACTACAGTATGTGGGTTTTCTCCTGTCAACTACAGCTGAACACATCCACTACAGTATGTGGGTTTTCTCCTGTCAACTACAGCTGAACACATCCACTACAACCCTTCATGATACAACAGTATGTGGGTTTTCTCCTGTCAACTACATTGTAAGGGTAAATATAACAAATTTTCTGCTGAAACTATCCTCGACTTTTACGCATACTCTGTAATACCTTGTGCTCCCAAATATGCTTATAATCACTGTATTCACAGAAACTACAACCACCATTAATAATTTAAACATCTGCCTCTCAAAATTTCCCTTTTATATTTATAAAACATACGGTACACAAATTCCATATTGAGAGTGGACTTGCTGGCTTGATGTGTCACATATTCTCAAGTAATGCATTAATATTACATTTCCCTATTTTATGTAAGCAGTATCAGATCCTGATATGGAAATTGATTGCTCAGCAAATTGAAAAATTGATGTACAAGTTATTTGTGAAAAGGAAACAAGAAGAAAAATGTTTATGTGTTAATAGTAAAATTTAAAACATTGTTTATTTACAACACATATTTATAGTAAAGAAATATAATGTGGATCAACATGAACTGAAAGTAATCATGAGGAAAATTGAATGATTTCATTTAAATTATTGCAGAGATTCTATGTTAGTCGAAGAGAGACACATACAGAAATATAACCTTCTCTGATACACTACAGACACCCAAAAAACATGGCTGTTGAAACAAACATGGCATGAGGTTTATGGTGATGAGTGGAGCATACCAGGCGTGTGCCGAGGCAGCCTTCATGCTCCACGTCATCAACCAAGCTGTCCCCTCCTGGGGCGGAGGTTCTACAGAAATGGATATACTGACAGTGGGGATACTTGCAGCAGGGTGAATTTTTTGTTTGGCCCAGGAGAGGAGGGCCCACCAGAAAATGCATATGGTGCTAATTGATTTGTCAAAGAGAAGTGCTCCAATGTCTCAGTATAAATAGAGAAGTGTTATGAAACTGAGTCATGTACATATCTTTAATGAGAGAAGAAAGGCTGGTCTATTGAAAGAATTACTGGATATGTGATATGATGAAATACTTTTACAAGGTATCAGATTCTCAGATAAGGGGAGCATGTTCCTCTCTGTGTTGGAAGAAACACCAATAAAAACTAGAGCATTTGATGCTTTGCACAGAAGCCAGGAATTTTATATTGCCACAGACAGTCTCCTGACATGTGAAACAAGAGATAGTTTCTGCAATATAACAAACTAATCATAGCTAAATTATTATTTATTGTTTGATATTGTTTGATGTGTGTCTGCTTCTAATGCTGTGATGTGTGTCAACATGTTTCATATTGATACATACAAGTATACATACCTGTCTTTTCAGACTACAAGCAGGACAGATGTCCCCAGTGAAGTTATAAAGTAAACTATTTACTTAGCTTCCCTAGTTCTATCTGTCACCTCCATAAATTAAACTCATTCATGTACCATCCCCACCCATGTATGCATCCACCTAGCCTGATGTGTGTTAGGTTATTAAGTCCAAGAGCGCCACAAGTAGGGACACCCTCATAGGGCTGTGATGGCCTACACAATGACCACATGGATAATGCACTCCTGTCCATCCACTGCATGACAGTGTGCCTGTGTCCATGATGGCTGGCATAGTATGTGCTATTGACCTACAGCCCAGTAGAGCAAGATGGTAGGTGCATGGTGATCACAGCTACATTACACCTGGATGAACAACTCCTGACATGGCATCAGATTTATTCACGGTCTGTGTCTGTTCATTGTCTACTCTCATAGCTTCCTCGAAGACAGAAAATCTGTCTTTGTAGGTGTATCTTCACCTGTTCCTCTAATTCTTCTGACATAAAAGTGTTTCATTAAATAAGAGTAACTGTCATGTTTTTCTATAGAAACTCATTGTGGTTGAAACCATAGCAAATAAAGAATGAAGTACCTCCATCAAACTCTTGCCACCAAATAAAATGACACAGAGATTAACATACTTAGATTTTCAAGTGCAGTGTGGTTATAGGGTCACCATCATACCTTGTTTGAAGAACTATGTGTAATCAGTGGACAGCCTGGATGTGAACAAGGGACCAAGCTGCAGCAGGTAGTCCACCCTTAAATATACAGTAAGGTGTTGGATGAGGGAGATGTGAGGACAGATAGTTGACCTAACACTGTCTTGTCTGTCATACTGTAATCAGTGTACAGCCTGGATGTGAACAAGGGACCAAGCTGC